GAATGGTGTGCAGGATGAGAAGGTGTGAACGGATGGAAATTGTATAAGTCTAAATGATCCTATGCACGATCTCTCCGTGAGAATAATAGGATTCATCTTCGGACCATAAGTGAATGATAGCTCAGCATATACTTATGACTCTATACATATTATTACACGAGTAAGAGAGAAGGAATAAATTAGCTCTTCCTTTCCCTCCTCGACTAATAAGGAAGGTTTGGTTGCAAACATGAAACCCTGGGCAAGCTAAGTTTACCAAGACTGTTTGCTCATGAGATGGTTAGAAGTTTCTTGTCACGTTTCCTAGAAAATAAAAATATGTATTCATATTTAGTTTCAGTACTTTACACTGTATATGCTAAACATACAGAGTAACTTTACTTTCAGTAGTTTTACCACTTGCCAAACATAACTTCAGAGTAAATCAGCTCAGATAACTGCAGAGTAAATCAGCTCAGATAACTGAAGAGTAAATCAGCTCAGATAACTGCAGAATTGGACAAGCAAGAAAAAATGCATACTTATAGTATTCTAACTGAGTAGTCGCAGAGTTTTGATATCCTAACAGTGTAATTGCAGAGTTTTGATATCCTAACAGTTTAGTTGCAGAGTTTTGATATCCTAACTTAGTAGTTCCAGAGTTTTAATATCCTAACTTAGTGGTTGCAGAGTTTTAATATCCTAATTAGGAGTTGCAGAGTTTTGATATCCTAACAGTGTAGTTGCAGAGTTTTGATATCCTAACTTATGAGTTCCAGAGATTTTATATCATAACTGTGTAGATGCAGAGTTTTAATATCCTAACAGTGTAAATGCAGAGTTTTAATATCATTACTGTGTAGATGCAGAGTTTTTATATCCTAACTTTGTAGTTGCAGAGTTTTGATATCCTTACTGTGTAGATGCAGAGTTTTAATATCCTAACAGTGTAGATGCAGAGTTTTGATATCCTAACTTTGTAGATGCAGAGTTTTGATATCCAAACAGTGTAGATGCAGAGTTTTAATATCCTTACTGTGTAGTTGCAGAGTTTTAATATCCTAACTTAGTGGTTGCAGAGTTTTGATATCCGGCTGTGTAGATGCAGAATTTTAATATCCTAACTGTGTATTTGCAGAGTTTTGATAACCGAAATTAGTAGTTGCAGAGTTTTTAACATTTTGATTGTGTAGTTGTAGAGTTTTCATGTCCTAACTGTAATGCACCAGAGTTAATTTATCTTAAAATTACCTATGACGCTGTAGAGTTTGGATATCTGAGCGCTGTAGTTGTGAGTAGAACAGCTCAATTTTGTAAGATCTCTAGATTTAAAAACCAACTTTTTATGATAAGTTTTCAATGGTCTGAGCTTAATCTGTATGTACTTGTAGGTATGGTACGACTCGTAAACCCCAAGTTTATTGCGTGTGAAGAAATGGGAGGTTCTTATATATACGCTAACTTTATATCTTACTGTAGGATCAGAATATATAACAAGCAATTAGTAAACTTTTGGAGTTAACATGGCGTAGTGTAAATATAAATATAAAATATTCAATATATAGATAGAATGGGTGGTTCCTATATAAATATATAGGTGTTGTTCAACCCCTTTCTTCTTGCTTCAGTCGAGATTTAATTAAATGGATATTTATTTGAATGTGTAGAGGTTTTAAACCACAGCGTGATGGAGATATAATCATGCTCCGTATAGGTTCTTGTACACGTCGATTCATTCTTACAGTCTCCAGATTCATTCAAAACTATTTATCTCGCAGTCAGACACCTGAATGCAGATATACACAACCAATATATTCCATACAAGACAGGAGGAAGGCATGGTTTACACTGGGTTTCCAAATCCAGACTTCTCCAAGTCAAATATTACGGCGGGAAAAAGAAGAGGTTTAACATTCATTATTCTCCAGTCCAGATATGGAAACAGTATTATATGTACAGCTGAAATGTAAAATTCTAATGTATCTTCTATAGTCTGAACCCAGAGCCCCCCGCTTTCCAAGTTATCGCAAATTTATGCCTCAAACTTGGCTTTCAAGAGACTAGAAACATCTTTCCGCTCTGTTATTTTGAGATTGGGAGTTGTATCTCATGGAGCCCAGAGAGAGAATCTATAAATTTAACTGAAAGAGTAAGTGTCCGTTTTCTAAGGAATAATATATTTAAAATCAACTGAATCAAGTTAAGGAAGAGGGGGGGGGGTACAATGGCGCTGCGAAATATTTCGTGATTTGAGAATCAACTGTACGCGTAGTTAATGTCAAATTCTATGGTTATTATCGGTAGAAATGGGCATGAATTATTCTCTAGGGAGAATACTAAAATCGGTTTGAAAAATACAGAACATGTACAGGGTGTACTGTAATGTTTCATGTACAGGGTGTACTGTAGTGTTTCATGTACAGGATGTACTGTAATGTTTCATGAACAGGGTGTACTGTAATGTTCCATGTACAGGGTGTGCCTTTATGTTCCATGTACAGGGTTTGCCTTTATGTTCCATGTACAGGGTGTACTGTAATGTTCCATGTACAGGGTGTGCCTTTATGTTCCATGTACAGGGTTTGCCTTTATGTTTCATGTACAGGGTGTACTGTAATGTTCCATGTACTGGGTTTACCTTTATGTTCCATGTACAGGGTGTGCCTTTATGTTCCATGTACATGGTGTACTGTAATGTTCAATGTATAGGGTGTACTGTACAGTTTCATTTACAGGTGTACTAAAACTTCTCATGCACAGGGTTTTCTTCAATTTCTTATGTACAGGGTGTTCTACAATATCTCATGTACAGGGTTTACTCTAATTTCTTATGTACAGAATAAAATGCGAAAAAAGTGTGATAATAATAGTGGAAGGAAGGGTGATGTTTTTATGAGTTAAAAAGATTGAATAGATAGTTTTGTTGAATAATATTGCATATTGGAATCACTGCATAAATTATACACACAGTGTCCAAAACTTCTATATGCATAAAATACATTTACTGCTTTTATTTTCATTAACAAGGTTCACAGGATCTGACAACTTCTAAGAAGTATTGCATTGCACACCTCCCCCCCATTCTTGACGAAAACTATGCCCCCCCTCCCCGCGCTCTTTTGTGGTAACCATCCCCCCTCTCCCCGGCTCCTCTAAAGGTTTTATATCCCATGACTCAAAGTTAACCTTGAATAAGAAAAGTTAATTCAAATTCTGCTTAGGCCTACATTTTCCTTTCGTCCTTTCATTCATTCTTTTTCATTATTTCTCCCATTCTTTTTTAATCACATTTTTCTTATATCTTCACATCCTATCCAACATTCTGCTTTTTCAACTTTTTAAAATTTTATTTAACTTCTTTCATTTCCTTTCATTTATAAAATCTGACTTTATTTTTATCCTGATTTTCTTCAGTCAATCCTCAATACTTAATTCGTATAATCTTTCAAGGAATCTAATTCCATTTTTTGTTTTTCTCGAACACATTTATTCCTTCTTATTGATTTTAAGATTTTATTATAGATTTAAGATCAGGATTGGAAACAAATCTGTCATGAAAAAAATTCTATTATTATCTTTACAAATTGCCGTAAAGTCCAAACCAGCTCCAAGATGTTTCATATTGTTTTGTCGAAATACATTCTCTAAATTCATTCTTATTACAGAACATTTGCAAGGTCCATGGATGGAATAACTATACATTGCACCATGTCACACATTCCTCTGTGCACGTCTGCACAACATTCTCATAAATATTGGATACATAATTCACGTTGAACTAAAGTAAATTTCACGTAAGATTTATCTCTGAAATGTTTCCAACCATAACTCCTCTTGTTTAAGAGCTATCGAGAAGACCAAAAATGTTTTGAATTTCTAATATTTAACCGGATAAACTTGATTTTCTCATGTTTGCATAAAATAAAGCCTAGAGTAGGTACGAGGTCACAAAGTCTGACCAGTAATCCCCCTTAAATTTGACCTTCTCAAGTTCTCCTGCTGAGTGATTATTTCGGTAACCAACGCCAAGAAAGTTCCATCAAAAAGTTCATTAGACGAAACACATGGCGTGTGTTCCATTTTTGATTATCAATATAAATCTATAAAATGGACATTTATTTAAACATTGATTAAACAATTGTAATGTATGAATATTGAATATATATATATATATATACCTACATATATAGCCTATAGGCACTAGGCAGTACTTTAATAACTTATATAAGCATGAATAATTGTGTAATTATTATGTGGTCAGTGGTGTCTCAACAACAACATCACAAATAGCGATAAATTGAAAATCTTCCTCGGAAGAAAACTTGTATGTTGATATATATTCCTACATATTTTGAGATACAAATTGTCAATGCTAATTACTAGCTAAAGTAAAATCAAAATCAACATAAAAAAAGAAAACTATTTTTATTTTTCTGCAGTTCCTGTTTGTTTTCGAATTTTATTAATACAAAATTTTGCATTTCTCCCCCTACTAAATAAAAAATAGAAATGAAAACAAATAGATGATTTCATGTATAGTTTCAGACATTTTGTATAAATTAGAATATCCCCCTGACTGGTAAACTATTGTTGATATAAATTATTTAATCATAAACTTAGAAAATATATGAATGACAAGTCTAGAGGCTGAGTACACAAATGCTTTTGTTGAATAAATGAAAATACAAATATTAAACATTAAATCCGAGGAACAATAGATAGATCATGTAACGTGTCCAAACTTTTTACCGGGGGGGGGGTTGAGAGAGAGGGGGAGGGGGGCTCTTTTGTGGTATATTCAAAAGGGAAAAATATAACCTTTTTGTTCAGAAACAATATCAATTTGGATTTGCAAACAAAACGTATAAAGTACACGGTACGCGAGGTTTTTACATATGAGAAAAGTTGAGTTTTAAAGGTTTGCATAAGTCATTATTTGCACAGTATACCATAGACAACAATTTAAAGCCAAACATAAACAGAACAGATAGACATGAAATTAAAAATCTTCAATATTCTAGGATATTCAAAATGGTGGAAATCGACAAAAATATTTGAGATTAAAATCGTGAATTGAGATATGGTGAACTACACGGAGGAGAGAAAATGTTTCAGTCCAAAATATTTAGTTATAAATTCAATAGTTTCCATGATGAAGAGAGGAGAGAGGGGGCTCTGGGCTTCAAGATAACCGCCATTCAAGAGGAGAGGGCGGAGGAAGAGGCGGTTTCCCCCAAGATGGAAACCCGCCGCAAGTTTGGAATAGCCGAACCTAATTCTAACCCCGGCGATCCGAGTAACCCTGCCAGGATTAATGAAAGTAAATCATTAAAATTCTTTAAATCTGGAGGGGTTTGCTCCGTCATAGATGAGGAGAAGGATAAGAACGAAACCGCTCCTCTAGAGCGGCAAGATAGCGAGCTATCAACCTTATCCTCTTTTAGCGAGGTCGACCTCGACGAGTTTTATGTCGAAGAAAGTCCTCCTGGGACGGAAGAGGACGACAATAGATTCACTTTCTCATATAATTCAACGTTTCATCGAGAAAAGGTATGCAAACAAGTTCTTTAAAATCTTTGACAAATAAAATCGTCATTCGTCGGACAATTTTTCGTATTCGTATATTCTGCCCCTCTATTGGACAACTTAGGCATAACAGTGATCAGCTGATTGAGTAAACTAAAACCGGTTTCTGCCTGGTACAGTTCGAGGTTTCCGCCAGTTAGTAGGTCTCGGTCTGCCGAGTTGAAAGGAAAGTCACGGAATGTATTAACTTATACAAAATGTTACGGTCTACGTTATTAAGGGTTAATTCCCTGTTCATTATTATGAGAACGAATCTATAAAATGTGGAGGTTTAAGTCCAGATTTTTTCAGGTACGTCTTAAAGCTGTAAAAGTCAGATTTGAAAGTTAAGAAACGTGGCCTAGGTCTGTGTATGTCCGGGGGTATGTGAGGAGAGGGGGTGGGGAAATACCACCAGGATGTATCCTTTACTTTTAACAATTTGAACTTCGGTTTTACCATTTTAATCCATTTTTCATGCAGATCTTAAAGAATTGATTATCAGTTACTTACTATAAGATTTTGTTACGAAAAATAAAACCATGACTAATTATTACTAATCATTATACAAATCTGAATATTGTCACAAGGGTTCGCTTTTTATAAATACACGTCTAACAGATTCAAAAATGAGTTTTGATATAATTTTTTTAAAAATATTTTTGGTTTGATGGATGACCCATATTTTAAAGTGTGTGCCAAAAGATCAAATTTTATTAGTTGGATTTTTGATAAAAAACGTACGAAATTAATTAATGATGGATTATGATTGATTGATTAAATGAATTTTAACGATTATAAAATGGTTTGATAAAAATTTAAAATTAATTATAAAATTAACGATACATTTATCATTAGCTAAAGAAGAAGTAATAAAAAATTATGAACTTTTCAGAAAAATTAGATTTAATATTAATGAATTTTATTAATTATTAATGAATGAACTATTATATAACGAAAGATGATATTCATGAACGCTCAATATGTAATAACGAATACTTGATAATAAATTGATATTTCAATTGTCTAACTCTGATGGTTTGTGTATGGTTTAGCTCCACCAGGAGGGAGGCGGTAGGAGGTCGGAGGATGCTGGCTCCGACAAGGACGAGGCCGGAGATACCGAGGGAGAAGACGAGGATCCTGAGCTCACTGTTCTCAACCAGTCCGGAGTAGAGGACAGTTTATCCATCCCGGAGCAGGATATCCGCCCCAAACTAATTCTGAACATCATGTCTGGTTCAAACGACGAGAAGAGTGTGGTGATGAGACAGGAGGAGGTGGAGGAGCAGGATCAATTCTTTGATACTCCTCCGGGTTCAGCTCCTGTTATACTACGACATCCAAGGGTTCCTCCGCTACATGGTAGATATTTCAGACTTTTTAACATGATTATTTTTTAATTCTAAACCATGAATTTGCACATCCTTTGATGTAAATCCCGGCCATAATTAAATTGAAAGAATATTATCTAGTTTCGTGCATTTTCTTCAAGCAATAATCTGAGGACTATTAATGAATTTTGTTTTTCTGTTGCTCAGGTTCAAGTTTAGTTCAGCACAAGTGTTCTGAACCCTGTATGAACAGCCTACTAAGAAACCCACGACTTCAAGGTTTAGCCAACTCAGGAGCTCACACTAATCCACCGCCCACACCAACCAATCTTCTTCCTCCTGCGTTCCCAGTAGAGAAACAGAACCCGGAGCATGGTTCTAAACGAGCAGGAGCAGGGTTGGGTATGTCGAGAAGTATCTCCGATACTACCCTGAGACGTGCTGCTTTGCACCTTAATCTCAGTCAATCTGTTTTACCTTCTTTTACATCTTTGCAACAGTTCAAGGTAATCTTACTCTTTCCCTGTAACATTTAGCGATCCTAAAACCCGTCCTAAAGAATGGATATCTTTGAACCCGTCCTAGAGAATAGATATCGTGTTAGATCAGAAACATTAGGGTTTAAACAACCAGTCAAATTATGCATCTGTTTGATCGAGCTTTCATCTTCCTGTATATATATATATATATATATATATATATATATATATATATATATATATATATATATATATATAGGTACAATGTATTCCCATGTATGCAACCCACGACACTAGAATATATTATAGAAAGAACTATCTGTATCCCGACGAACTGCTGCACGAAGTCAGAGGAAGTCCATGATTGTCCAGACCAGTCCAACCATGCCGAGATGTCATTCTCCTATTACTACTGTCTCCCCACTTGGTAAATAGTTTTTGTACTTTCTGTTCAACAGGGTTGAAAACTTTTGAATTGGCGGATAATCATTTAATCCAAAAGTTATCAGCTCCGTTTAAAATAATAATTTAAATCTCTGCAATGGTTAAAAAGTTTATTTATCGCTTAAATCGGATTTAATATCAGATTAGCATTATATGAAAACTTAAATTTTTTAATTTAAACTTTATTTTTATTTTATGATTTCTTATGAACCTCCCACCAGCTACTTGTAATGGTCTCTTTATACCCCTGTCAATCTTAATGTTTATCTAAATCCAGATTTACTTATTTCATAATAAATCCTAACAGTAAATCTTTGAATGCGTTCAGTTAGATCTGTAACTAGATAAAAACGTTTTTGTTCCGACCTTCCTGAATCATGCAAGCTTATTACGCTAGAGTAATTAAATGAAAGCTTAATTTAGTTTTCATATTTGCATTCTTATCAAAATTCAATCTTTTGCCAGTTCTAGAATTTTAGATTTGTTATGGTTAATTTATTTGTTTTTCTATTATAATTAATCTTTAATTGAAAAAGTTCCACAACTTCAACTGACTTCAGTCTTTTGATCCACAATTCAAAATTTTTATGAATCCTGAAATAAAATTCATGTTATTGTTTTTACCCGTAAATTCTGTTATTGATCTCTACTTTCGTACTTGATAAATTATAAATTAATGAAATTTAGGCTGAATATTGGATCCCTAATTTCAAATTCTGCTCCCTATACTTAAATATTACTTCTTAAATATCATTATGGATCCTTGAACTGAACAACTAATCCATAAATGATCCCTTAACTCAATCCTTTTTCACCTCACACTGCCTTTGATTACCCGACTTTACCATTGATCACTAAAGTCTAATTCATGATCCAAATATGATATCAACAATCCTGAAATCTTCATTAATGATCCCATAAACTTTGTAAATGTTCCGAAAAACCTTAAAACAATTTATAAAATCTTCTTAAAGGGAGTGTTCGCGAAAAATGAAAGGGGTTATAGGCTTAATGCGATAAAAAAGCGCTTTTAATCGCTAATAATCTTACTTCTATCTGTTGCGTCTATAAGGAGGATTTTTTACGGTCTTAGTCGTATGTTGCAATTTTCTGAATTTGTATGGGCGCTAAGTTATTCGGTATGAGACGTCTTTAACAAGTTTCTCCTTATATACGCAACAGATAGAAGTAAGATTAGTAGCGATCAAAAGCGCTTTTTTATCGCATTAAGCCTATACCCCCATTTCATTTTTCGCGAACACTCCCTTTAATGATCCATGAAATCTGAGGTCGATTCCTGAATTCTCACGAAGAATCCCAACAACCTAATTATGATCCCTAAAATCTTGTTTTTAATCCCTGTAAATATTCAGATTCCCCGAAAGTGTCTCCCTCTCAGTTTGCATTTGTTAACATCAAGAAAGCAGACGGGAGAAGATGGTCTGTAGCCAGCCTACCCAGGTATTCAGTCGTCAAAATCTTAATTTCAAGTGATCTTGCATGTAGATGGTCTGTAGCCAGCCTACCCAGGTATTCAGTCGTCAAAATCTTAATTTCAAGTGATCCTGCATGTAGATGGTCTGTAGCCAGCCAACCCAGGTATTCAGTCGTCAAAATCTTAATTTCAAGTGATCCTGCATGTAGATGGTCTGTAGCCAGCCTACCCAGGTATTCAAGTGATCCTGCATGTAGATGGCAATGCCCGATTTACAACGGTACCCTCGCAACCTTGATCTGATAAAAAATGTGGATGATAACATTGTTTTTCTGACTCAAGTGTTTTATTCATTTAATTTCTTGATTACTACTCAAAAGCAAGAAAAAGAAAATCAAACTTGAATATCTAATTCATACTTAATCGGACAAAGCTTTTAAGGGTACCGTTGTAAATCAGGCATTGTCATCCTTGTATTGAGGATCATTTTAAATTACGCTTACAGTCCCTTTAAATTGATTTCATATTAATATTCATCCACCAACCATGTGTTAATTAGTTTATTATTGCAGGGTAAATATTGAAAAAATCCCTCCCGGTGTCAAAGAATAAAAATGGAAAGAATTTTTCAATACTGTTCTCCAAAAACACCCCCCCCCCCCCCAAAAAAAAATCTCAGCAAAAGAACCCTGAAATTATAGATGAAGTTAATAGAACTATTTTTATAAATATATTTATACATTATGCAGTATCCCCCCTTACTATTGTATATTGTGGTTTTACTTTCTTTAAAAATTAGTGTCACTACCAAAATTCTTTTGACCTGTCTTGTCTGCTTGTTTTAGTTGCCTTGGCTATTCAGGCCAAATGAATTTCGTCTATTTTTGGATCTTAAACACCTTACGGATAACTCATACAACATATGGTCCTATCTAAATTAAGATAAGGTTAAAGTTTTCTTTAAAACTGTAACCTTCAGATTAATCCTTGAATTATGCACTGGTTTGAATATTTAATTGGAATAAGTTCAATAAGGATTTTACTCTCAGTTTGTCAAATTTGCACCCAACTTTTATCGATTGAAATGCGATTAATTTCAAGTATTTTATTTATTCATCTATAACAAAATAAATAAAATATTTTCACAAATATGTTTTTCTTCTCAACGCGGTGGGATCTCTTTTACATTTTAACCGAAAAAAATCTAAATTGGCTTTAAAAAAACTTGCTTAAGTTTTGAATTTCTGACTTAATATTAATGGTTTTTCTTAATGTAAAAGTAATTTTTTTTAATGGTTTGAGATTTTCATATTGTTTTTATTAAGTTAGAATAGTTATTACAAGCATTATTTTTTTTCTTAACTTAGAGGCAATGTTCATTTAGGTTTATTTTAATTTAAACAATAGTTTAACGGAGAATTAAAAAGTAATGGAAAATAATTATGCGATTAACAGTCTTAAGTTTTAATTTCTTAGTAACTGTAAATGATTTTTAAGTTTTTTGAAACCTATAAGATGTACTTTTTTTGAGGTTGGCCTTCTCCCCCTCCATTAGCATTAGCTAACTAAATCTTTATCAGAGGTTTACATTCATCAGTTTATGTGTCATGACCTTAGAAATGTGTATAAACGCATTCTTTACGTCTTACATCTAGAAAGCCGTCACAATAAGGTCATTCTCACAATCCAGCATATCTTTCAAACTAGAAATATCTTTCTAAAACTAAATATTTATGCATTTATGTCAAGTACACTTTTTTATAAATAAAAATGTTTTTCGTTTTTAAATTAGAAAAAATATGCTTAAGAAATAGAATATTTTCTGGTTTTGGTCTATAACGAAAAGAAATTACCCCAAAGGGGTTATAGGCTTAATGCGATAAAAAAGCGCTTTTAATCGCTAATAATCTTACTTCTATCTGTTGCGTCTATAAGGAGGATTTTTTACGGTAGTGCCATGTCCGATTCACAATCGTACCCTTTCAACCTTTGTTTTATCAAGGATGCATATTGCATATATGATTTATTTTTAACTTTCTTGCTGAAAATTTACTATTTTTAATTGTGGCTTTTCAACAAAAGCGACTAGCGGATTTTCAATGCTAATTCAAAGAAAAAACTTGTCACCTTTTAGGATCGAAAAACAACAATATCTTCCCCACTGTTACTCAGATAATGGTGCCCTTTAGTACCGTTGTTAATTGGACATGAATCTCTCTAAATTGATGTTCTCTTCAAATTATGTATACAGTCATTTTAATTAGCTTAATTAAGACTAAACTTAAAAAAAGATTTTTTTTACTTCAGTAATAGATGATCAGTACAGTTACTAAATGCGAAGTTCAATTTCTATTTTGTCCTCTTTTTCAAGTTAGGCACAAACTGCTTAGTTCATTAACTAGATGCTTAGTTCAGACAAAATATGCTCAGCACATTTTTAATATCTATTGGAAAACCAATCATCTTCAAGCTTTTGGTTTAAAAGCAGCTCGATTCTTCACTTGATGTTTTGGAAGATTTATTATTCTTCGTAAAACTAATGAACAACAAGAGATACTTGGAACAACCTAACTAGAACATTTATGTGTAAATATTATTTTCTTCTCAATAATAATAATAATAATGTTTTATTTTAGCTCCGGGTATGGAACTACTCCTGGTTCTAGTAATGTCTCCAGTCAGTGCTCTAGTCAGGAGAAACTTCATCAGATCTTGGCTCCACATGGAGCTCTAGCTCCTAGTACTGCTGAACTACAATCCATGCACAGGTCAGTGTCCGAATTTAATGAATTTGAGCCGCGTCTCAAATCCTCTTAAAACCGGTTTTAATTGAGCGCCGGCTTAAATCTCGGAAGAATTTAATACAATTTTAAGTGAAACTAACCATATTGGAGCCGCGGCTCAAATTCTTTAAATTCGGCCTCAGCTTAACTTATTTTCTTGTGTTTATTATTATTATTATCAACTTATCAACCTGTTCTGAAATGCCGTGGGGAGTTCTAGGGGATATAAACATACTAACATTCACGCTTCATGATTGTTATATTTCTCTTTATATTTCCAAGAAAAGAATAGAAAGGAAATAAATATATTTGTGGATTATTTTTCATATCAAATATTTTGAGGAAAACATGTCGAGGTTTGATAAAAAATTTCAATTTATTTTTAACACGACTTATGATTTAATTTTTGTTCTAGATTCTTTATTTTTAATATATTCAGGCATTTTTCTTCTAATGATTCCAACCCTGGTCTCATAGATCTAGATGATGGCAGAAGATCACCTGCTTTCCGTCCTAGATCAAGATCGCTCAGGTATGGATTGATCATTCAGAGCATGGTTTCAACCTTATCATGGTTTACAGTGGGGTTCTCTGCGTGGGTTACCTATACTGTGTAGTAATGTAAACCTTGTTTATTTCTCTTTTTGAGAACTTTTTAAACCATTGAGTGGCCTACCTGTTGTTTACCTTATTGTTAGGACAGATATAATGCATAATTACAATGAAATCCGAAACCCGACTACCCCACTCCCTTGCCCTTCTACTGCTAGGATTATGTTGCATGCCCCTCGCATTTATCTTGATAAATCAAATTCTAATTTATCAAGAAAACAGAAAACCTTTTTTTCTAGAGATGGAAGCGGGTGTAACGTGAATTTTAACTATCAAGAGTTATGCTTTAATATCCAATATTTTCCGTCATAGAACGAGAACATCATTTATTTAAAAAGATTAATTTAATGTAAAACGATTATTTGCAACCCCAGTGGTAATTGAAGTGGCGGTACAAGGGACTAAACATATAATTCCAAATGACTCTTTTTACAAAGTGTGATGTCCGATTCTAAACGGTGCCTTTAAAAGATTTGTTTGATCAAGAATGAATTAGATATCCATGTTCAACACTTTAAAAACTATTATTTTTCAACTGAGGTTTCTCTAAGTTTCCATATCATTGATCAAATAGAAGTTTAAAGAGTACTGTTGTGAATCAAGCATGTCCCTCATTTAAGGGAGTGTTCGCGAAAAATAAAAGGGGGTATATGCATACGGCGAAAATAAGCGCTTTTGATCGCTACTAATCTTACTTCTATCTGTTGCGTCTATAAGGAGAAAATTGTTAAAAACGACTCATACCGAAGAACGCAGCGTCCATACAAATTCGGAAAGATGCAACATTCAACTCGGATAGTAAACAAATCAATTTAATTCCAAACAAATCATTCAGATATTACAAACAGTAGTCATCGATTATTTTTCGACGCATTCGTATATAGTAGTGGGTTTTAGGAAAACTCAATATAGCTTGTGGGATAAAATAGAAGGAAAATATTATGTTAAAACAAGGTTTAAGAATAAAATGGTATAATAATACAGATAGAAAAATTAGTTCGGAATGAAATTTACAAGGAGAATATACATGGTAGTGGGAGGGATGAATTTAATAAATAAAAAATGGACTGGGATGAGTTTGTGTAAGGTTGGATGACAGAAAGGGTGTGTGCTTTGTTCAGGTTGATAAATATCCTGGTATCTAGGTCCCCACCAGCCAGTGTGGTCTGCAGCTGTATGTTTAATGGGGCAAACCTACAAGACAGTTTCTGGGGTTCAACTCTTTTTTTTTATTTCTTCCATTTTCACTTCTCTTCCTCTATCCCCGTTATTATTTATATTCAAACTCCAATAAGACGAACATACTTTAATAATAGCTTCGATGCTTTATTCAACTTCCCTTGCTTTATGTACAAAGATAAACTCAGTACATAGTTTAGTTCTGTACATAGATACGTAGACGTCTGTACAGAGTGTAGTACAGCTTTATCTTATTCTATAGTAATATATATATGTAGACTTCTACATAGAGAATGGAAACGGTAGAGAGATACATTTTATCAAACCCAAAGCGTATCTCTCCTTGCTGTATCCTGGATCTATGTTCTTCATTTTCGTCAACTTTACTCCGTGTTCATTGATCGTTAATTTTCAGTTCTCCGATCCGTACTCCTCTGATCGACAACGAGATCGTCCTGATGAACACGCTCTACAAGGAGAGGTTCCCCAAGGCCACCCAGCAGATGGAAGAGAGACTCAAGAACTTTATTACAGATCATGAAAGGTTTGTTTTACGTCATAATCAGGATTATTCTATTTAAAAATATAATCTTGTTAGAGAGGATAATTAGATCTACAATAAGTTAGTTTGCATTTTCATATTAGTTGTTAAATACGATATTTAAAAATTTTGTGTGTCCCTTAAACATGATCAAAGATATTACACTTAACTTTTCTACATTAGGTTTACTATTTGAATACCTTGTAATATTCTTATTAGTCTATATATCATGTCAAGTTTAAAATATTTTAGACAACATTTTTGAATTGTTTGGAATTCAAAATGGCTTTTGGGCCTTCTTCAAGATTCCAAATATCGTACAAGCTTTTATATATTTTATGATTTTACTTAATGAGAAACTCCAATCTTAAACCTTATTTCTCCAGGTTGTGTGAACCCAACGAGGATCAAGAGATAAACCATGATAGTGTTGCTATAGTTAGATTCGTCCATCATCAGGTATTAGAACAAGAACATCTAGGGTTTCTAGATCACTACTTTTTAGAATTATTAGCCTCACCTAAAACATTCATTTGTCTGGAGTTATTTCATGGAGGCAAATTTTTATCACTAAATCTTAATATCATATACTCATTAATTCCAATTTCAACATCTTAATTCTTAACATAGATTTTCGACGATTTATGAAAAAAAATTATAATTAAGATTTTGATTAAATCGGGCTTCTCTTATTGTTCCCAGATACTAGTAAATGTTGTCTAGGTTCTCTTTTGTTAACTGGATACTAGTAAATGTTGTCTAGGTTCTCTTTTTGTAACTGGATACTAGTAAATGTTGTCTAGGTTCTCTTGTTGTTCCCAGATACTAGTAAATGTTGTCTAGGTTCTCTTATTGTAACTGGATACTAGTAAATGTTGTCTAGGTTCTCTTTTTGTAACTGGATACTTGTAAATGTTGTCTAGGTTCTCTTATTGTTCCCAGATACTAGTAAATGTTGTCTAGGTTCTCTTATTGTTCCCAGATATTAGCAAATGTTGTCTAGGTTTTCTTTTTGTAACTGGATACTAGTAAATGTTGTCTAGGTTCTCTTTTTTACCAGGATACTAGTAAATGTTGTCTAGGTTCTCATTTTGTTCACATATTATAGTAAATGTTGTCTAGGTTCTCATTTTGTTCACATATGATAGTAAATGTTGTCTAGGTTCTCTAATTTTACCAGGATACTAGTAAATGTTGTCTAGGTTCTTTTATTGTACCCGGATACTAGTAAATAATGTCTAAGTTCTCTAATTGTACCTGGATACCAGTAAATGCTGTCTAGGTTCTCTTTTTGTATCCGGATGCTAGTAAATTCTAGGTTCTCTAATTGTATCCGAATACTAGCAAATATTGTCTAGGTTCTCTTTCTGTACCCGGATGCTAGTAAATGTCTAGGTTCTCTTATTGTATCCGGATACTAGCAAATGTTGTCTAGGTTCTCTTTTTGTACCCGGATGCTAGTAAATGTCAATGTTCTCTTATTGTATCCGGATACTAGCAAATATTGTCTAGGTTCTCTTTTTGTACCCGGATGCTAGTAAATGTTGTCTAGGTTCTACTTTATAATAGTAAATGTTGTCTAGGTCTTCTAATATACCCGTTTACTAGTTAATGTTGTCTAGGTTCTTTAATTGTTCCCGGATACTAATAAATGTTGTCTAGGTTCTAGAGATGGCCAGGGATTGTTTAACCAAGTCACAGGAGAGATTGGTAACAAGCAGGTGCAGATTTTTAATATTCAAACTGTTTCAGAATGGGGAAACGGTTTTTTAAAGAAAGTTTGTAATCCTTAAAAAATACCATTTGTTTCCAAATTCATGACTGCGGATATTGATCAAAACTAAGTTTAAATTTCTTTTTTGCGTTTCTATTTTTTCAGTTGACATTAGTGCATAAAAGTATGAAATCTTTGTGTAACGATCTCTTTCCCGGCTTTTCCATTCTCTATAGAAGGAAAGGAAATAATTCATCTGCAACATGTATCTCTGATGAAAAAAGTTAATATTTTTAAATTTCAGGTATTTTTACGAGTTGAGTGAGAACCTTGAGAAACTGTTGGTTCAAACAAGAGAAAAATCTCCCGAGGCGGCGGCTCTTCTCACTTGTCTGGTAAAGAAACTACTTCTTATTGTATCCCGTCCTGCTCGACTCCTGGAGTGCCTGGAGTTTGATCCGGAGGAATTCTATCAACTCCTGGAGGCAGCTGAAGGACAGGCGAGAGTTGTGCACGGAGTTCAAACACAGCTTCCTCAGGTAGATCTTAAACATCAAACAATTATGTCGGTTCTAAGTGACCCTCCATTAAAGAGTTACAAAACCGATTCACAATGGTGTCCTTATAAAGCTATGTCTGTGCAAAAATCGTCGATATTTCGTTGGGTTTTATCTGTAATTTAATCAATTTGAATGGCAGTTTCTTAATAAAGTCATTAGCGGGTTTATGCAGCAGTGTCAAAATTGACATAATTTATCACCCTTGATGATAGAAAAACGACGACATCTTACTAGATATAGGTTTAAAAGGTACAGTTAAGAATCGGGTCTGTAGATCACTTGAAATTAAATTTATATGAATAAAGATACACATTTCTAAAATAAGTTAATTTATGAATCTACATTTTAAACGCATAGTGAGTCCTGTGCGGTAATAAGATTGTCATTTAATTTATTCTTGGAGCCAGAAAAAATCATTGTTCAGTGCCTCACTCTGTGCATTTTTCATGTGACGCATTTACTGTTGTGCACTGTGCAGTTTACAGTTTTATGTCATGTTGTGTCATGTCACAGCTTTTATCGTCTATTCAAAATGCATTTATAGATTATTAAAAATGTATTTTATTTTCAGTATATAATAAACAAACTGGGATTAAACAGAGACCCCCTGGCAGAGTTACAACAAGACCTGGCAGCCCTAGATACATCCAGGTATTATTATTATTGTTACTAACAATTTACTCTTTAGTGATTAGAAAATCAGAGTTAGTGGCAAGAACTCAGTTTCTTCACTTTGCTAATATAGGAACCATGTGCAAGTCCACTTAAAATGTTTTTTTTTATAGAACAGGGTTTCTCAAAGATTTTGTAAAAAAAATTACTCCGTGCTTCAATTAAAAAAAAGTTATTTTTTTTAAAATCAGATTTTGTGTAATTTATGTATATTCCAAATACCAACATTTATGATGAGGAATAAATTTTTTTACCGACATTTGGGTGAGGTGTTATTATGTTTTTATGATAGTTTGTTAAGGATAGAATATATAACATCAGAGTTAAATTAATGACGTGTGGTGTAAATATTCCATTTGTATTCAAGAATATGTTATATGAATACAACCTTGTGAGAAGTCACTTCTTGAATACTAGAATATTATTATATAACCATAACTACCATGGAATACTTATTTATATTGCATAATACATTTAAAATCTTAAAACAAAGGATTTCGAACGTTATTCTAAATGCCCCTTCCACCCCCTCCCACAAGATGACCAACAAGGAGTCTTCAATAGTCATTTTGATATTTGTTTTCCCAGTGAGACTCTATTTTCAGATAACTACTTGAAAAATCTCCCTCCCCCCCCCCTTCCCCCCTTTAAATACTTTTTCCCCTAGAGGTTAGTTATGTTCGTGCGTAAGATAAGGGTTTTTCTTGCTAAATTGGGGGGGGGGAAAATTATTTAAAGCACGAACAAGGATGAAAAATTTGTCTTTTAATGTCCAATTTTTCATTTTTCCTTAGATTTTTAAAATTCTTAAATTATACATTTGTTTTAGTCGGACAATCGACAGACTCTCACACCCTTGTGAATCGTTAACGGCTTGCGTAAATTTAAGAGAACGTGAAACTGACTTCAACGAAGTGCATCCTGACTGTGTCGGACTATTTTTAGTCTTATGTTGACCACTCATTCATAATCCATCAAAAAAAGTGCAATAGACCTCATATACTTAAATATTAAAAAATGCATAGCCCAACATAAAAGTATAAAATAGGGGTTTAAACTAAGGCTCACTCGACATTTAACCAGAACCTCGAAATTTCCACGAGAGTCTAAAAAAATTTGTCGATTTCCATTCAAATGAATTTTCTTTTCCTCTTTTCAGGACACAGACGACTGATATGAATTTAGGGTTTCTTGTTCCATAGATTTAAATTTCTGAATATTTTATTCTAATTAGTTGAATTTATAATTTCTTGGTTCAGCTTTCTGTAGAGCTTCTTCTTTATCTCGTTTCTTTTCTCTTTATTGTCAAATCTTATTGATAAAGAATCCTATTTATATAATATTATATTTAAAATAGAGGGAAAAGGGAACAATGAAGATGGTGGAATGACGAAACTTGCTTTGAGATACAAAGCTAATAGTTAAAAAATAGGCAGTTTAATTTACGAAAACTTCTTATTTCGCAATTATGAAAGAATTTTCAACCCTGTTCTAAACTATGTGCTAAATATTGTAATTATTCAATGTTTAAAGTTTGAAAACTGAAGAGGGTTGGTTAATGAGTTCTCTGAGTAGGGATTTATCATGGGATTAATGATAGAAAACTTTTCATAGATAAAGGACATCAAATTTCCCTTCTTTAGTCCTTGTTGTCTCTGTAAAATTAGAAGAGAAAATTGTGGGAACAGGAATACAATTCTTCTCATTTTCCATCTTTTCGACAGGATAATCAATTCTATTTCTCGTCTTTAGAGAGGAGGGGGGGGGGTAGAAATGGGAATGGGTTCTAGAGTAAAGAAAGGAGTGGGGTTACGAAGATGCCATTTGTTAGGGTTAAAAGACTTTTTGACTAGTATAGCTTACGTGTGTATTTTTAGGGGGGAGGGGACTAAAAATAGGAAATGGTAATTAACATTAAGAATGGGATAGAGAAGGGATTGATTAATTGTTCGGGATTAAAGGTTTGTGGATAAATTCTTAGTTTTAGGAGAAGTAACAACATATGGTTGGAAGGGAAAATATAATGGTAATCCTTCCGGAAAAGCGAATTCAAAATATTTGTTTGATGGAAGAAAAGAGAGGGGGGGGGATTAACCCTCCTTTTAAGCATATTTGTTTAAGGGGGGGGCGGGGTAAACCCTCGTTTGAAGCATATTTGATTGTATTAGGGTTTATCAAGTAAAAGATTTATATTTATCAACATAAATATTTGTCACAAGACAAAAAATTTACAAATACAGAACTTTTATTCAAAAATAGAAAATACCTGTTGACAATATTCCACTATAAGCAGTAAAATATGGATTAATATTATTCTTGAAAAAAAAATAGTTTTGTTTTAACCGAAATTTACTATTATGCTTTTAGATTATTATATGAATTTAATCATTTTCCAGTGTTTGCTCAAGTCCTGAGAGGAACAGGGAGGGAAGCCTTGAACCAACACATTCTACTCCTAAAGGGTAAACAATCATTAAAATAGTCTAAATTAATAATAAAAGAACATTTTGATAAAGTTATATTTCCGCGCACAAACGTCTCTGAGAATTCTTTGATATTCTGTTCCAATTCTTGGTCCTTACTCCTACTTGTTTTCTAGGTCTGATAGTGAGAACACGTCTGGAGCAGGATCGGTAACCGGAGAAAACTTCCGGAGTAAACCTCCGTGTGAGGATGATTTTGAGGTTGCAAAACTGATCTCCAACGGAGCCTATGGAGCTGTGTATCTAGTCAAGCACAAGGAGTCCAGGCAGAGGTTTGCTCTCAAGAAGATCAACAAGCAGAACCTTATCCTTAGGAACCAGGTTAGGATACTACTTATTTCGAATTTAGAAATAGTTTGCGTTATTCATTAAAGGCAACCTGTTGTAAGCAATATTTATTTATGAAACAATAATCACAAAATAACCCAAGTCCAAAATGTTGTCTACTTTAAAAAATACTAGAGACATGTCTTATTCTGAACGAAATCATTGTTATCTCCGGGAATCGTGAAAGAAAACAAATGGCAGACCACACTGGTTGCTGCAAACTTTAGACGACTCTGTAGTATTCAATCGATTAAAATCATTCCGTTTTATTTGGAATAGGACTGTAGAGTGTAGGTCTGTGGATTATGTTCAAGAACTTGTTATATTTGTTATTTGCTTCCGGTTATGACATTATCTATTTATATAAAGTTGTAAACTCTGTATGTCCGTTTTTTGTATGTATGTATGTCCGATCATAACATGACCGAGTTGCCTCAAATTTTGATTAGGAAAATCTAAAGAACCACGGGAATGTTTTTAGCTTGGTTTTGTGATTTTAAGTTAGCTAAAATCGTAATTGCGATCAAGCGCGGGTAAACGGCGGGAGTAACTATGAGCTCTTCGCTCATATATTTTTGATTGTATGTTAGCTATAACTGGCCAAACGGCTGAACCGACTTGGCTGACATTTTTGTAACAGACTTAACAAGCTTGAAATTTTCTACTTTTGGAAAATCGATTTTTTTTCAAGTAATTTTTTTTTCAAAATTCGATATTCGGGCAGTTAAGCTAGTATATAATTTATTTAAAATAAAATAGATTGAGAGCAAAGCAAAAGTTCATGAACTTTTCACTTTTTTCTTAAAAAATAGAGAAAATATGAAAGTGAGCTCTGAGCAGAGTTTATTTCTTTTTTCCCAGAACGCGTTCTAAATTATTAATAACCTTCTCTGCCATAATTTGATTTTGCGGATTGTGCACTCTGTCACAAAAGAAACCTTAAAGGGATTGTAAAAAAGTCAATTTCAGATTCACAACGGTACCCTTAAAAGCTTTGTCTGATTAAGTATGAACTAGATATAAATGGTTAAAATTTTGAAAACTGAATATGTGGTTTCTCTACAAAAGTGACTTGCGCATTTATACTACAAGAAACATGTAGGAATTGTCAGAGTTAAACTTTTTTGAGCCTAGAAAACACTATCTTCTACAATTGTTATCAGATAAAGGTTTTGAGGGTATCGACTTGAATCTGGCATTGCCATCCGTGCTTGGAGTTTTTCATGAAATTACGCTGATAGACTCCTTTAAAGACGACATTGTCGAATATTTGGCTTGATGAATTAACAATTATTTGTTTGTATTCGGGAATCTCCTTGAAAAAATAAGAAGGAACTGAATATGCCTCATGTTCACGGATATATTCTGTATAAACAATAGATTAGATAGAATGCTCTTTATCAATAGATTCCAATCATGATTTGGGGGGAGGGGGGGGGGGAATAAAAGAAAAGCTCGAGACTTAGTTCCGTTGCTATACTTAATAAAAACTTGTAGTATTTTGAGAATATAACTATAAACCTCTATTTCATGGAATTAAAAAGACTGAAGGAAATTACTTTTTCTTGTATGGAAGAAAAAATGACAGATTCAACTTCAATTAAAATTTTGTTGCGAATTTCAACTTCAAGATCTTCAATAAATGAACGAGCTTTTTCTCTTTCTTAAAAAAATTAAGTATGTTCTTTATCTCATTTTAATATGGATCCATCCATATATATGTATACTGTAGTATCTGTTTGTTTGTTTGGATGTCCGGTCATTACTCATGAACTTCTTGACTGATTCGCCTCAAATTTTGATTGGTGAACTAGGAAGAACCACGGGAATGTAATTAGCTTGGTTTAAAATTTTAAACTAAAGGGGTCAACTTTAATAAGAAAGCTACAAGTTTGAAACTAAAGTTAAGACTAAGCTTTATCAGTTAAATATTAAATAATTTCAGGTGGAGCAGGTTTTCGCGGAGAGAGATATCATGTCCTTCTCCGACAATCCCTTCGTAGTGTCAATGTACTGCAGCTTCGAGTCCAGGAAGCACCTGTGTATGGTGATGGAGTATGTGGAGGGTGGAGATTGTGCAAACCTTCTCAAGAATATGGGACCGTTTCCTGCTGATATGGCGAGGTATGATTACAAACATTATTTAGGGTTTAATTACTATTAAACATGGGATTTAATTCATCAATAATAGTAGATGCAATTTAGCACCAATTATGGTAGGATCAGGATCAGAATTAGAAGAAAAAAGAAACAGAAACATATTCTTTAAAAGCCGAGATTCAGAACTAGAAATATTTCTTCCGATTTCTATTAAATAAATTTTTACTAACGCAGTCTGTTTTTGAATGATGCGTAAAGGGAGTGACCTCCAATGTATGGTAGTTGAACTGAGAATGTAGTATTGTGGAGAACGTTTTTAGGATTCATTTGAGACATAAAAAACGTTTTAATAATGTATGATTACTGAGTTTGAGCGCAAATTCAATGTTCAGCCTCATCTATTTTGACTTTTGAGAATCGATTTTTTTAAATTATTAAATAACGACGACGAAAAATGTAACAAATTTTACACTAAACTAACTAGATGTTAAGGAACATATTTCTCTAAAGAAATTTGTCAAAAAATCAATGTTAGAATCAATTATTTCTTTTTTATCATTATAATGAATTTCTTATTCTATACGAATTTGTTCGCAAATTTCTTTAAAAGTCGTCTTTTCAATAAAAATTCAGAAAAATTACAGAAAATGTTTCTGAGCAATGAGACATAACAGAAAAGAAACTAATGAACTGAATAAAAGTACTTATTTTCGATGATAAGAGTTAATTTTTATTTTCTCAACCTGTAACTAAACAGCTAATTAGTTTACCGTAGATTTTTTGTTACTTTTTTTCGTTGTTATTTATTAAAACGATTTATATGTCTCAAATGAATGCTAAAAAGTTAATGTTTTGAAACTAATATTGTAAATTTGAAATATAAAAGTATTTGTTGATTCTTCCCTGTTGGGAAAGTTTAGATTAATTTTTAATGGCTTTTATGAATTTTATATAATTTACTTTTTTTTCAGGTTTTACTTCGCAGAAACAGTTCTAGCTGTTGAGTACTTACACTCATTTGGAATAGTGCACAGGGATCTGAAACCTGATAATCTTCTCATCACCGCACTTGGGCATATTAAACTCACAGACTTTGGTCTTTCAAAGATGGGACTCATGTCCCTCGCAACCAACCTCTACGAGGGGTATATTGACAAGGAAACTAAGCAGTTCTCCGACAAACAGGTTTTTGGAACTCCGGAGTATATAGCGCCAGAGGTTATTCTCCGACAAGGATACGGTAAGACCGTTGACTGGTGGAGTATGGGAATTATTCTCTACGAATTTCTGATCGGATGTGTTCCGTTCTTCGGAGATACTCCGGAGGAACTTTTCGGACACACTGTTAACGATGATATTGAGTGGCCGGGAGATGATGATTGGCCGGTTCAACCTGAAGCCAAGGAGATCATCTCCTTCCTTCTGCAGCAGAATCCTTTAGATAGACTTGGTCTTGGCGGAGCATATGAGGTGAAGGAGCATGTTTACTTCCAGGGGATAGACTGGAATTCGTTACTCAGAATGAAAGCTGATTTCATCCCTCAGCTGGAGGATGATGAGGATACATCCTACTTTGATTCAAGGAGTGACAGGTATTTTTTACATCAATTAATGAATTTCAAGAAATTTTATTTTTTGTCTAATTTAATCACTTTTTCTTTTAGATGTTTCATTTGGATGTGAAATAAATATAATTTAGCCCGCATTAAAGTTTTTGAATTTTGAAATAATCAAAATTAAAAATAACAGAAAATTATTAAATTTTTGTTCAGGTACAACCATTCAACCCTGGATACAGACGGAGAAGTTACAAGATCTTCTGCTGATGATTCCCTGGAGGATGCCCCGTTATTCCGATCCTTCTCCTCCTGCTCTCCACGCTATAGAAAAGTTCATGGAAAGGATTCGACTGCTCAATTCCGACACAGTATATCCAGGTGTGAGAGTTCAGATAACTCGGACAATCTGTCCATCAGTAGTCAGTCTCCTAACAGTGTTGGTTCTTCTCCTAGTTTTGGTCCATCAGGTCCCTCCAAGCTATCCATGTCTCCTGAGCTGAGACGACCCATGGAGATAGAGAACCTGAAGAGAGCGGAGAACACTAAGTCCTGTCCGGAGCTTGAAGCTATGCTTGCTAACGCTGGACTCAAGATACCAACTACTGTTGGCAAGATTGAACCCGAGAAGAGTAAATCTGAAGTTGAAGCACAGCAAACGTCACGAGCACTTGCTAACTTTAAACTGAAATCTCAGGAGGAGCTGGGCAAGAGTAGTTTGTCTACTGTGAGCTATACTCGTTCCGTCTCCGCAACCGAATCCTCGCAGACGGATAGCGAGGAGTGTAGTCCACAGTTGCATCGGAGAAGGAAACATTTGCAGGGCCGTGAACCTTTACCCAAGTTCTCTATCTCGTTAGAAGAAGATGATAAGCATCATGATCCGTTAACTCTACGTGGTTTAAAAGATGTAAGTTTATCTGGTCCCACCTCTCTACCCTGTCTGATAACTCCTACACCTAGAGTATCCGTGGAACCTGAAATACCCAGTCCGCTCGTCAAGGGTGAGAAGAGTAAATCCATTGTTAAGAGTAGCAGTATCAGCGGTCTTAGTCTCATTATTCCAACTGATCTGATCCACCAGGACGGAGCAACTGGAGGAGTTAGTCCTAGTATTATTCAGAGCGTTCAGTCTCCAGGTGGTTCCAGTACGGCAAGTAGCAGGGACGCGTCCCCATGTCGAGATATTTCTCCACTTATCAATAGTCTCAAACCCCCCATCATCATAAGACGTGGTCCTCGTGGTTTTGGATTTACGATACGCGCAATCCGGGTATACTTTGGAGACACAGACTTCTATACAGTCCATCATCTTGTTATGGAGGTTGATAAGGGGTCTCCGGCTTTCGACGCAGGACTGAGACCAGGAGATCTTGTCACTCATATAAACGGAGAAGCTGTTCAAGGTCTCTACCATACTCAGGTTCTTCAGCTTCTTATGTCAGGAGGAGAAGCAGTTACTCTGAGAGCCACTGCTCTGGAAACCACGTCTATTAAAACCGGAGGACGGAGAAGGGATCCTGCTTCTATAAAAATGGCGCGCCGAAATGTCGCCAAGCATCGACAGAAGAAAAGAGACGTGGATAAACGTCGTAAAACGTCCTTATTCCGTAAACTCTCCAGCAAGAGAGCAAGTGCGGAGATGCAACAGATTGCTAATGCTGGAATGTTGTCTGCTAGTAGATCATTACAGTCTCTTCGGGAACCAGTTATTCCCATTCCTGGTGTTAAATCTCCACCAGCTGGGAGACTTCATTCCCCCACCCCACTACCAGATTCCCCCCTTTCCTCCCCCTCAGAGTCCTGTGATACATCCAGTGCCTGTTCTCTTTCAGGCGGTCTAAACTCCTCCAGCTCAACTAGACCTTCCTCTCTACACGGACTCAAGCATAAACTTCATATAAAAACCAAGAATCTGCATTCTCCTAGACGGAAATCTGTTGGACACATCCCCCTGTCTCCTTTGGCTAGAACACCGTCCCCGTCTCCTCTGCCGGTCTCTCCGACAAGGTCACCTAGTCCTCTTGCTCTACCCTTGGGTCATCAACCTGGATCGTCCAACGCAACTCAGTCCTTCTCTCCAGGCAGTAATCTGAGTATTACTCCCAGTAAAAAGTCTTTCTCTCGACCCAAGTCCACTGAGCCGAGCACTGCAGGTTCTCCTCTTTTGAGACGAGCTCTATCTCCGGATAGGTTGCATCCTAGAAGTGCGGAAGGAAAGAAACCTACAACAATATCCCCTCTGTGTAGTAAAGCTATTGGAGGAACGAAACATTCCTACAGTTCATCATCTACAAATACTTCTCCTCTACCTTCCAGAGCTCTTCATTCCTCTCCAATCAGTTCTCATGAGCAAACCACCGGAGATTCTCCCACTCTATCCCATCTTGGGCACCACAGGAAGCACTCGTGTAAATCCCTGAGTCAGCCCACTATACCAGAGGAAGGTCCTGAACACGAGGACTATTCTCCAACAGCATTCCCAACCAGCACCAGTTCCACAGCTCAGAGTATTACAAATAAAATTTTTGCCTCGTTCACCAGTAAATCTACAGACAAGAATACGACCAATCCACCAAAGGAGGAGAAAAAAGTTGATCTGAGAGCTACTAAAAGCTTAAACACGGAAGTGATGAAAACCAAGGACATGAAGGAAGTGCAAGGTGTAGGAGTGTCCGGATCTGGGTCTAATACTAAGCTCAAGAAATCCTCGTCATTTAAAGAGGACATCGCGACAGCAGACGGTAAGACTTCGGAGAAAAGCACGGTTGTAAATGCAACCGTCAAATCCCCGAAACTTTCCCGAGCTGAGTCTATGACAGAGAGAACTGTTCAGAAGATCACGAAGGTTATTCGTGGCTCCTCAAGATCAGAATCAAGGTCCAAGAAGACCAGGGAAACTAGTCTCAGTCCTAAAGGCGTAAAATCAGATCATGAAAAACCTGGGACCAAAAAAAGTGAGGCTGTAAAATCAGATTTGAAAAAGACGACTGATAAAGATAAGAAGTCAGCAAACGAAAAAAGAGAAATGTTTAAAAGTCATTACAGCAAAGATTAAGATTTCTTTTGGTTTAAGTATTTAAGATGTTATATGTATTATAAATTGTTGCTTTTTAGTCTATATCGACCACATTCAGAGGTTGGACATCCTTTTTAGACCGGTTTCAAATACTTTTACGTCACAGTTATTCTTGAGTTTTTATCAACAGCTAAATTTTACAAAAATTAGATTATTTATTTGAAAAACGAATAATAACTTAAATATCGAATAACAATCTCATCGGTCCCTAAACGATATCCAGCGCTTAACATTTTTATTATTTGAAGAAACCAACCCAGCATCATTCATTTCCAACCCATCTTATCGAATATTCACCCTGAAAACAGTTATATTAATTTCTATTTTATTATTCTTCCTTGGAACCAGTTAAACTTAGATATACTTTTCCTTGGAACAAGCTAAAATTGGGTATATTTATCCTTGGAACCAGTTAAACCTTAGTATATTTTTCCTTGAAACAAGTTGGAATTGGTTATATTTTACCTTGGAACAAGTTAAACTGGTTTTACTTTTCCTTGAAACAAGTTAAAACTGGTTATATTTTTCCATTAAACCTACGTATACTTTTCCTTGGAACCAGTTAAACCTAAGTATATTTTTTCTTGGAATAAGTTAAAACTAAGTATATTTTCCTTGGAATAAGTTAAACCTAAGTATATTTTTCCTTGGAACAAGTTTAAACTAGATATATTTTTCCTTGGAACAAATTAAAACTTGTAATATTTTATCTTGGAACAAGTTAAAACTGGTTTTACTTTTCCTTGAAACAAGTTAAAACTGGTTATATTTTTCCATGGAACCATATAAACCTAAGTATATTTACCATGAAACCAGTTAAACCTAAGTATATTTTCCATGGAACAAGTTAAAACTAAGTATATTTTTCCATGGAACCAGTTAAACCTAAGTATATTTTTCCTTGGAATAGGTTAAACCTAAGTAAATTTTTCTTCTCTTGATTCTGCAAATTTGTAGATATAGGGTTGAGAGCTTATTTGTGTCCCCGCTAGTATCCATAGATTTCAGTTTCCTTGCCAGAATTTTGTTATCTGAGGTCTCAATATTTTTGTAGAAGCTTGCTCTAGTACCAGCTCTCTTCCGAACCTAGATTAAGGGTTCCTTCTCACTCGGAGCTGAGGAGGACAGGGTTAACCCAAATTCTCCTCTGCTCTGATTAACAAGGATGGTATCAAGAGCTCTGAGATTAAACCCTGTTATCTAAATATGTAATAACATTCAGGATAACATTCTGGGGGATTTTCCCCTAGTTATCCGTAGTATTTTCAGTACATAGTTAACACATTTAGTACGGACACTTCGATTTCATGCAAGATACTATTGTGCCATACTTGAAAAATTATCAAAAAAAAGACCTTTTCATTATAAATACTACTTGTTAGATCAGCTGATATTTTTGTTCACTGTTAAATGGATCTTCGCTGTTTTGTTGGAATCCTGCGTCTAAGAAAAACATTTTCTCAATACATCTTTCCCCAAATAAGAATTAATGTAAAACTTAGAAAGTTTTTTTCTGTGCTATGTAGAGCTAAATGGAATTCCGTGTTTTTATTTTTCCTTTCTGTAACAAAAACAACGGTTCGGCATCAAATTAAAAAGTACAATTCTTTAACATTCCTAAATTGAGGCATAATCTAGCGAACCGGCCTAAATGTTTAGTTGCTTGTTCAAAACCTAACTTTTGGAATATACTTTTCGCGTTATTAAAAGAACCGATTTTATTGTTTGGTTAAGAAACCCGCTGACAGAAAAGAAACAGTTTTTGGTAAATGTATAACTCGGTCCAAATCTATTCATGTGTTCATACGAATATTATTCAATTTGTCCTTTTAGCTGAGCTTGTGATGAAAGACAAAAACTATCTAAACCGAAACCGTGTGTTGATTCTTAAATTTCTAAAACCTCCAGTTCGATAAACCTTGTTTGGTGACCCCATATTTTTCCTCCCTGAAATCTCGAACTTAAACATAGTTTCGGTATCTTTCAACGTTTTAAGTTTCTATCTCCCTAAATGAGTCCTATTTGTATATTTAAGTTTCTATCTCCCTAAATGAGTCCTATTTGTATAGATGTTCTCTTTAACACTAGTGATCTTCATGTTAAAGTTTACAATATATTCTGATTAAAAATTCATCTTAATTATGTGTTAACTGTCCAACCCATCCCATTTGCTTTATAGCTTATTCGTTTTGCTCATATTATTTATTAATTATTTATATTAAAATAATTGCATTTGGAAAATGAGGAATCTTAAAAATGAAAGAAAAAATTTAAGTAAAAATATACAAATTTAAATCAAACTACAGTTTTTTCAATATACTTTCAATCCAAATTTTGTTTTATTTTGAATTTTTAGATGTACACTGTAAACATTATTTTTATATTGAACATCTGTACAAAATTGATCATTGATGTAATACGCCTTACAATCTGTGTGCAAACATGTACAGTTTTAATAATCAATTTGTACAGATTTATCCAGTTTAATATAACAGTGTCGTAATTAATATTTTGTTGCAGTAGGTTCAGAACTATGTAAACCTTCTCCGATAAATGTTAGTTGTTTATGATTCATGATTCTGATATTCATTAAATCGTACATGGAACTTGCATTTTCATTCAAAGAAATATTTTTTATTCTAAGGATAGAAATAATTTTTTCATTCATATGATAGAGGATATTTTTTCATTCATAGGATAGAGAATATTTTTTCATTCATAGGATAGAGAATATTTTTTTTTTATTTTTAGGATAGAGAATATTTTTTTATTCTTTGGATACAGAACATTTTTTCAATTATAGGATATAGAATACTGTCATTCATAGGATAGAGAATATTTTTTTATTCGTGAATATTCAAAGAATGAGACTTTGAGACGACTGTACAGAATTTATTTCTACACACCGTTTTCGTTCACTGCAGCTTGAAACTTGATTCATTCGGTGCCAAATCTTTTAGCAGAGTATTTAAAGACTAGTTTTTGTGCCAAATAGTCGAATGAATCAATGTTATGCATATTCAATAGATTTTGGGTCGTCATAAAGTCTCATCATTTGTGGGTAATCTTGTAATTAATAATTAATTAATTAATTAATAACTAAATAAGGTTGAAATCACCGACCAATCTTTTCCTAAATTTACAAATTTAAGGTCGCTTAGTTTTTTATTTTGTAGGATATTATTAAGACTTAAGGATATTAGTATTAGTTAGAAAACGTCTCTAGTTACAATGACATTGCGTTATAAAAACGCTAGTGGTCATTTTCTCGCGGGCGTCCCCTAAATTCTGTATTCTTTTTTTTAGTATCTAACCCTGATAATTTCTCAGAATGGACTAAATCAATCAGATCAAGTGAAACGTAATAGGTGATACGTGATACGTGATCGATACGTAATTGATAGGTGATACATGATACGTTAATTATTTAACAAATAAATACTCTAAATTATTTCAAAGAGGTGTACCCCCCCCCCCCTGGATTTTTACACCGAAGGCTAGATTGACCTGGAACAAATCATCCTATGAACACCGACAGCCTTCTTTGGGTATACTTTTATTTTTAACTCGAAAAATAAACATAGAAACTACTTGCAGTCTCCTGCAAGAAAAATTAGCATGATTTAAGAAGTATTTTAGTAGGGTTAGTGGAGTAAACTTTTAGCAATATGAACAGATATTTTGAATGTCGGCTTCCACAGAGGTTTAAAATTTTGATATGTTTTTTTCCATGTCGGAAAACATGCAAATCGTCGCATCTTTCACATATTTTTCTTTATTTCTGAAATCCCAAATAAAAAAAATCTGATTGCCCACCCCCTAAAAATCCCTTAAATCCTCAGAACCTGAAATATACAGTCCTTAAAGGGATTCTAGGTGGAATTAAAACCCTACATTGAGCGGAATGTGCGATTAACAACGGTACAGTTCAATTCCTAATTTTTATTTCTCTATTCTCTAATGAAGTACTCTAAAGTTAATACCAAGAAATCTTCTAATTAACTCTGGATGAAGAAGGATCAGGATTCAGGTTCATATCGCTGTTAGACGGAATTTAAACAATTAATGGTTTTATCAAAAGTTTTTTTTTCCTGCTAAAAAATTCAAAGATTATTTAAATGCATTTTTAATCGCCAGTCAATTTCTCAGATTTTTCGATTTTATTTTATATTAGAGAAAACTTAAAAATTGTTCTATTCAATGTATTTTTAACAGATCCCTTTCTCGTAATTTAGAAAAGAAAAAAAAAACCTTAAAACAGATGATACACGGTTAATTAAAGTAAAAGAATAATAAAAGTATAAACATTCAGGTTGCAAAGAAATAGGGATAAGAAAATTTGAGCTTTGGATAAGACTCAAATTCTTTCGTCGCTGAAAAATTGTAAGGTCTAAATACTCTTTGATTAAACTGTTTCTGGTTAAAACTTACCATTTGCTCTGACGCGCAGGTCTGCTCCGTTCTACAGAAGGAGATTGCTGAACCAGCTGCACCAGAGCTCACATACTCCTCTGTAATGAAGTGCGGCAAACTGAAGAGCAGGGATCCTGGACACCATCGGAGGAATTGGAAATAAAAAAATTAAGAATCTTTTAAAGGGACCGTTCACTTATTTGGGTAATTTCAGGGTAAACTAAACAGTCTATTCGCTCTTGATTGGTAATAGTCTTACTTTTCAAAGACAACTGTGGCCGGAGAAAAAGCCGATTTTTCGTTCAGAATTCGAGCGCAAAGGGACGGTCCCTCTCTATAGACACTAATTGATGTTTTTTTCAGTATGTTGTGAATCAAAATAAATCTCGAATATAAAATTAAACTTTAGTATCTGATCGTTAATTGTAAATGTCATTATTTTTTAATTTTTGTTGTTTTTTAACTTTCTATTTCTAAAATGACACTATTTTATCGCATTCAAAATTGTGTATTGCCTGTGTAAAAAGCTGAATTGAACGCGGCATGACAAATGAAAAGTTGTGCACATACGCGAACAAAATCTACAAAATCTACGAACCAAAATACGAGTAATGATTAATTGATTGTCGTAGAGACGTCGTCTTTGTATACATATTTTACATGTTTTAATACGAAAAACGTAAATTTCTTGCTAACTCAAATATCAAAAGTTTTCATATTTTAGTTCATAATAACGAACACATAATGACATTAAAATATAATAAATTTAAATGTTATTGGGCTGCTGTGTCAAATAGTGTCTATAGAGAGGGACCGTCCCTTTCCGCTCAAATTCTGAACGAAAAATCGGCTTTTTCTCCGGCCACAGTTGTATTTGAAAAGTAAGACAATTACCAATCAAGAGCGAATAGGCAGTTCAGTTTACCCTGAAATTACCCAAATAAGTGAACGGTCCCTTTAAGCGACAAAAAAGGTATAAACAGATTTTGTAAAGATCATGGAACTTAAAACATTTTCGCACAATTTTAGTCAGTTATCATCAATCGTAGAAAAAATGACATTCCATAAAAATCTTAGACGTTTTACAATGGAATTGAGTCTTTGTCACAAACTCATATTTCCTAATCCCTATATCTTCACAATCTTATAGTGTAAAGCTTTGATATTTCAAACTTAGAATATTCAAGTAAAAGAATTCATAATTTTAGAATACCTAAGGTTTACGACCTTGGGTTGCAAAGATATAGCTATTCGAAAATCAGAGTTTGTGATAAAGACTCAATTCCTTTCAAAGTTGTTATTCTCAACATTTTCCAATGCCAAGTTTTAATTCCTGAAGAGAATATTTCACTTTAATTTCGCGACCACTGCACTATTGCTGAAATATTTTACATTAGGCTCTTTAAAGAATTGTTTTAAACTATGCTTTTGGAAACCCAGCTTTGCCTAGAGTTTTCCAAAAAAAAGGAATCTACACTCAGATTAGATTCTTTAAACCAAGCTAAGAACATTCCCGTGCAGCTTTACCGAAAGTTCCAATAAACATTTTATTCAATTCAGTCGTGGAGTCCCTGAGTTATGATCGGACATACATACAGAGATTACTACTTTTTATAAATAGATATATAAATGAATTAATTTTGAATATCTGCCCAAACCCAATTTTAAGTTCAAAAATATTCCATTTCCCTCTCTTTTGATATATTTCACTTTGAACATCAGATTTTAAAATTTGATATATTTGTACATTATTTAAACTATATGTGATACTTTAATGGTAAAAAGGATTTATAACTAAGCCATGCATCACAAACTGAGCAACATAAACAAATGAGATATATAATGGTAGACTAGACTAGACTAGTAATTCAGCTTCTCACCAAACCGTCTCCTTCCAAAAAATCGTTTATGAGGAGTTTTTAATCTTCCAAACAAACGAATACTTTCCGAACCCTGAAGCGTGTCCTTCTCCACAGATACATCTTCCAGCTCAAGTTCTGTACTCTCGGATACTAGGCTAGTAGGTTCAGTACTACCTGGAGTACTTGAGATATCAGTTGTAAAATATTCATCTTCAAGATCTTGAACAAAAATGTCGTTTAGAATATATTGCGTTGTTGGATCCGAAAGGGGGAGGATGGTTGTTGATGCTTCGGTAGTTGTAGGGGTTTCAGTTGTTGTGGTTGTTGTTGTTGTTGTTGTTGTGGTAGTAGTAGTAGTAGTAGTAGTTGTGGTTTCAGTGGTAGTGGTGGTAGTAGTTGTTGTAGTAGTTGTGGTTGTTGTAGTGGTAGTTGTTGTAGTAGTGGTAGTTGTAGTTGTTGTAGTAGTGGTTGTTGTTGTTGTTGTTGTAGTGGTAGTTGTAGGGGTTGTTTTTGAGGTAGTAATAGTAGTTGTAGTTGTTGTAGTTGTAGATATAGGTTCTTCAGGACTAAAGAATGGTAGAGCTGTTGTTAAAGTTTCTGCTATGCTTAGGAAGGTTGGGATATCATCCATCAAGGATGAAAATGTTGTTGATCTTTTTTCTGTTAACCCATTCTGCTCCAGGTCTTCATCAAAGAAACTTGGTTCCGAAGTCGGAACGGAGCTTCTCCTCTGAACATCGGATCTTGGTAGTTCTTCAGTTCGCGGAGTATTTCTCACCCTTTGTCTCGTCCTCCTAGTACCAGTAGATGGGAAGCTACGTGCAGACTCTGAGATATCTTCTGGTGCCTCCTCCTCCAATCCGTTCTCCTGAACAGACTCTATAAACGTGTTTATATTGAAGGCAGGATTGCCAATAGTTGCCAGCTGCTGGACGATGTTGAGTAAGTTTTGTTTATCTGCTCTGAACGTATCTATCTGTGTGTTAAGCTGAGCAATATCTGTATTCTTGAGATCAATCGTTCGTCCCGCATCTCCTAGTAGCACTTGAAGGTCGGAAATAACCGTGGACGCCTTGCCTAGTTTCTTGCTCAGTTCGTTCAGCATATTCTCCTTACCACTAATCCTCGTGTTCAACTCCTGGACCTCGTTCTCCAGGTTCCTGGTCTTGTGATTGTTCTGCTGGATGATCTCTTTTAGAGAGGTGATCGCTCCTTCTAGAGTGATGATCTTTTGATCTCTTTCTCCTAAAATCTGAATAACTTCTGCATTCTTTTTGTTCAAGTCTGCGATGATATTGTTGTTGGAAACAATTTCTTGTTCGTTTTCCTCATTGCTCTGTCTCAGTGCTTTGATTTGTTCATCCTTGATAGCAGTAACGTTCTTCAGAGCAAGTACAGTTGATTCTAGTTGAAGAATCTCTTTCTGTTTCTCAGCAGCATAATCAGCATTCAGTCGGGTTCGGTTATTCAGCTCCTCAATATGTTTCTCTCGGTCTTTGATTAGAAAACCTCTCTCTCTAGTTTCCTTCTGAAGTTCTCTAAGTTTCCGATCCTTCTCAATTACTTCTCTAGTTCTTTGATCCAAATCCTTCTCAAGATCATCAATCTTTTGGGCATCTACGGCAGAGTTAGCTCTGTGTTGTTCAATTGTTGTTTTAAGCGATGCTATTGCTCTCTCCTTTTCCAGTACTAGAGTTTCAACCTCATCAATACTACTCTCAATCAGTTGGATCTTCTGCACATTATCCAGGGTTAGTTTATCCTGTTCAGCTGTCAGAGTTTCAAGTTCCTCTATTCTCCGGGTCTGGTTTTCTATTGTATTGAGGTGGGAGAGAAGAATCTTCTTTTGATCCACCACAATATTTTCAAACTCTTCTAATTCTTTTATCTCTGTTGCCTGGATGGTTAGTCGGTTATTTTTTTCTCCGATACTCACCTCTAAGCTCTTTACATTACGTTCTAGGTCTGTTATAGTTTGTTCTTGGTCGAATAGTCTCTTTGTGGTATCCGCTAGTCTCCTAGTCTGCTCCCTCAGTGTAGTTTCAAGCTCCCTGATCTCGGCATTCTTGGAGTCCAAGGAGTTCTCAATTTCCGACGTTTTGGATTGGATCGTTCTTGACTGTGTTTTCAGTTCTATCTGGAGTTCATTAATCTTGTTGTTTGCATCCCTGAGAGATTTCTGTTGCTCCGCACTGTTCAACAATCTCTGGGACTGTTCCCGAAGATTTTCCTCAAGTTGCTTGATCTTCTTGTTCGCATCCCTGAGATCTTTTTGTTGCTCCGCACTGTTCAACAATCTCTGGGACTGTTCTCGAAGATTTTCCTCGAGTTGATTGATCTTCTTGTTTGAATCTCTGAGTTCCTTCTCTAGTTGTGCACTGGACGCCAGTTTTTGAGATTGTTCCCGAATATTTTGTTCCAATGTTTTTACTTCTTCTCTCTTTTTTGATATTTCATTTTCAAGAACTTTAACTCCAGCCAGGTTCTCCAGGTCTATGATTTGAGTGGAAGGTGGATTTGAACTTGTCCCAGAGCTACGAACAGATTCTTCAACTGGTTCTATTCTGTTTGATGCCAGAGAAGGATTCTTTCTGTTTAGATTTCTTCTCCCTGTAGTCGGTGGAGGGGTCGGTATAAAACTAAGGTCTGAGTTCTCTGCTTTAACCCTTGATCTCTTGGGAGGAGGAGTTGGAGAAAACTCAACTCTTGGTCTCTTTCTTAATCTCATCTTCCTTGATCTTCCGCTAGACTTGATCTGCTTTTCCTCAGGCTTGTTGTCTTCCACCACTGCTCCTCGGGCAGGAAAGTTAGCAAAGCTTGACTTATCTCCTTCTTGATTGTTGGATTCTAATCTTGTCTGACTCTGGAGTAAACTTGAGTCTATTGTTGGACGAAATGTTGTGATTGATGCTGGAGAACTAACAGGTTGAGGTATTCTAGTAACCTGTTGTTGGCTTCCACTTGGAGTAGGAGAGGTCTCAATGGTCTGAACCTGCAAGGAAACATGATTATCACTAGTTTCAGCTTGTTCTAAAGCTAATTTCAAAGATTCTCCATCAAAAAGTTGATTCCATAATTGATGAATCGGTCCTGATGTTTCCTCATCAATGTTACTTACCCCCGAGGATGTTCTTGTAGAAGAGATCTCTTGTTTCCTTCCTCTGGAGATTGGAGCTCGCTGTCTTGGATCTGCATTAGGGGGAGGTCGAGCATTCGCCGGTCTTCTAGCTTGAGATTCAACCTCAACATTCTTCTCCTCTTCAGGAATCAAGTTGTTTGTGAAGGTGTTGTCCTGGAAGGGTTTAGAAGGGAAGGTGTTGGAAGGGAAGATATTGTCTTGGAAGGTGTTGGAAGGAAAAGTATTATCCTGGAAGGGTGAAGCATTGTTTCTCTGAGTTGAAGAGAAGGATTGAAGTGGTTTGGTTCGCAAAACATCTTCAAAATCAAACCCTTGAAACCCAAGGGCATTGATATCAATAGTTTGGGCAGATGTAGAGGGCGGAGTTGGGTTTCCAACAGGACGGATTCTAATATCTGGTTCCTCTGTCACCGTGAACGGTTGGAAGGATGATGAAGATTGCTGGGAAGGAAATCTTGATTGCTGACTGCCAGGAAATGAGGGAAATATCTGATTTTGCTGCTGTTGCGGTTGTTGGGGCAACTGCTGCTGCTGCTGAGGTGTAAGTAACTGCTGCTGCTGCTGAGGTGTAAGTAACTGCTGCTGCTGTTGTTGAAAATTTTGCAGATTTGTTTGAAAAGGAAACTGTTGAGGGGTTGCTTGTCCTTGAGCTGAGAAAATGGGCTGGTTTTGAACCTGATTTTGTTGAAACTGCTGAAGAAAGTTTTGATTCTGAAGGTTAGATTGGGGTTGGAATCCTTGGAAGTTCTGTTGGCTAAAAAGAGCCTGAGCAAGTTGTTCTCCAAGCTTTGGATTCCCAGAGGTCGTTGGTGAACCCGGAGAATTTGAACTGGCTGGAGGTTGAGTGAACTGTTGCCCTGGAGTTTGGAACTGTGGAGAACTTGGAACCTGCCTATTTAAGAATCCAGGAGAAGTAAATCTTTGGTTCACAACTGGAGAATTCTGGAATTGTTGAGTATTAAAGAACTGGTTTTGTTGTTGTTCTTGTTGTTGTTCAAAGTTAAACTGCTGGCTTCCAAACTGTCTCGGGTTTCTTTTTAGCTCTGACAGTTGACTAGCTTCTGAGAGCAGCTCTCCAATCTCATTTACAAACAGGTCGATATCCGTAAAGTTCAGGTTGGATAGGAAATGATCCGCTGGGACTAGATATATCTCGGTAGTTGTTAATCCTTCGGAACCATCAGCATTGGTCTCTGTAGAAACTTCAGGTTCATCAGAACTAACAATTCTTTCATCCTTAGATTCATTCAAGTTCTCATATTTTTCACTTTCAAACTGTATTGTAGTCTCTTCTGGGTACAGGCCGTACTCTACGGAAGGATATGTGCTGTCAAATCCGTCCTGCTCCAGGTACCCATTATCCACTGAGAGAAAAGTGGTGTCGGGATATTGATAACTTTGAGTTGTTTCCTCGGAGAGAATTCCTAAGCTTGACATCAAACACAGCACCACAACAAACTGAAAGTATAGAGTTGAAAAAATCGTTTAATCTTAGATTTAAAAAAAAATAATAACAAAGAGTTTTGGCGTAAAGGAATTTAGTCTTTGCCACAAACTCTTACTTTATAGTCCGGATATCTTTGCTTCTCAATCTTGTATATTCTAGATATTTCAAACTATGAATTCTGTTATATCAAATAATCAAAGTTTGAAATATAAAGAGAAATATAAAAGACTCTCGACCTTGCCCTTAAAAGTTTCATCTTATAATTGATAATGGAGAAATCTTTGGTTTTGGCTAAATTTCAACATTTGAGATAAATGTTTAAAAGTGACTGTCGTGGTTCAAATATAACATATTTAAATATCCAAATAAAATCGTATATGGATTGTTAACCTTTTTTAAACTACACATAGTAGATAAAACACAGAACATTAGCATATTTTCGAGTATAAGCGCTTAAGGTTTTCGAGAAATTTTTCGCGAAAATAAGCAGTTATGCAAAAAAAATTTGTTTTGGTGAACTCCCATGTTTAAAATTCACAAATAAAGGTATTATGTGCAGTTTGAAATAGATGGACAATCCTTTTAATGAAATGTTGGCGTAGTTCTAAGTATCTCATAAAGGAATCGAGTTTTTGTCACAAACTTAGATTTTAAAAACCCTATTTCTTTGGAACCCAATGTCGTAAACCTTTAATATTTCAAACTATGACTTCTGTTAGATCAAATAATATAAGTTTGCATAACTGCTTATTTTCGCGAAAAATTTCTCGAAAACCTTAAGCGCTTATACTCGAAAATATGCTAATGTTCTGTGTTTTATCTACTATGTGTAGTTTAAAAAAGGTTAACAATCCATATACGATTTTATTTGGATATTTAAATATTGAAACACAAGAATTGAGTATTTACCACAAATTTTGATTTTCTAATGCAAGCCAATGTCGTAGACCTTAGACATTTCAAACATGAATTAGATCAAATAACCCAAGTTTGAAATATCAAAGGTTTACACTTTCAGGTTGCAAAGATATAGAGATTAGCAAACTTAAGTTTGTGGGAAAGACTCAATTCCTTTGCGGAGAATTGTCCAATATTAATTTTATAAAGTCGAACCTTGATCCTGACCATCCTTCAGTCCTCTCACATTCCGACTAAACCAAGACACTCTTCTCCGATACCCGGAATATCTGCGCGTGTGCTCCGACGGTTCTGCGCACCTGTCTCACGCAAACCATAGCTACTTCAGGAGCTTGAAGATGGTTTGTACGCATCTCAATATACACCTTTAAATACAATTAATATAACAGTAGTCTGGTAAACGAACCATTTAATTCACACATTATTATAAAAATCCTGCAACTTTATTAAACAATCCAACCATTCATTCCCATTTTTTTTAGTTCGCATATTATTATTCCTGAGAATGATATCCATATCTCCTAACTGTTTTATTAAATCTTGGCAAAGTCTATTATATTTATTTTGGTATTCAATTTATCAGATTTTTGAGGTTAATATAAGTGTCAATCTTAACTCTAAAAAAGTTAAAGATTCCTTTAGTGCTCAAAGAAATTGAATCTTTGTCACAAACACTGTTTTCCCAATCTTTATATCTTTGCAACCCAATGTCGTAGATATTTCAAACTAAGAATTCTGTTAGATAAAAAAATATAAGTTTTAAATAACTAAGATTTAAACCATCAGGTTGCAAATATAGAGTAACTGTACAATTTGAGTGTGTAGCAAAGACTCCACTATTTTATAATATTTAAAATATTAAATTTATCTGGAATATACAAAGGTTAAAGAGTAATGAAACATAAAAATTATAAAATCTGAAGTTATCATTTTCAGATTAATTCTGACTTCCTCCCCCTCTACATACTTACTAATTCGGTAGAATCGTGTGAAGGGGAAAAGAATAGTTTTTTGATTGTTGACATTTCCGTATAATTTGCTTGGCAGTCAAACTCTCATATTTGAATCTTTAAATGAAAGGTGAAATAGGATTAAACAAGACTTAAAGTTTTATCTGATGTTTTCGTCAAGAACCCAAAATGCTGTGGGGAAGTTTTAACTTAAACCTCAGACGGTTATTTTCCCCATTCGACGGTTTAACCACAGACCCTAAATCCCTGTATCTAATGGTGGATTTTACAGAATATCCTTAAATTTTACAAATCAATAGTTTAAACTGTCGATATCTAGTCAGTTCACTGAAGCTAAGCGGATCCAAAATAAAAGTTTCAGCTTCATTACTCGGTAAACTTAGAAAAATGTTGAACCAGTAAAGTTCAGATTAGTTAAGCAAGTAAAGTTCAGATTAAGCAAGTAAAGTTCAGATTAGTTGAGCAAGTAAAGTTCAGATTAGTTGAGCAAGTAAAGTTCAGATTAATTAAGCAAGTAAAGTTCAGATTAGTTGAGCCGGTATAGTTCAGATTAATTGAGCCAGTAAAGTTCAGAGTAGTTGAGCAAGTAAAGTTCAGATTAGTTGAGCAAGTAAAGTTCAGATTAATTGAGCCAGTAAAGTTCAGAGTAGTTGAGCAAGTAAAGTTCAGATTAGTTGAGCAAGTAAAGTTCAGATTAGTTGAGCAAGTAAAGTTCAGATTAGTTGAGCAAGTAAAATTCAGATTAGTTGAGCCAGTAAAACTGATCTTAATTCTTCATTTCCCCTTTATGCTTGCACAAACTACAATTTTTGTATCAGCAACATTTTAGAACGTGAATTTGAAAATTTCGGCTCCATAAAAATACTTTTATTTTTCAATTCATCTTCATAAACTTAATAACCATGAAATTTTGATAAAACTGAATATAATAATGTAGAATTAATGAAGAAGTGTAGATACATATTTAAAGTAATTGATCATTTTGAAAAATATCTTTGCATTAATAGCTACAGCAGCTGTAAACTACATCTACAGGGTGTCTCAATATATAAATCGCTAATAAAATAGATAGGTCAGATTGAAAGTTGCTACCAGAGTTAAATTGATCGCTGATTAAAATCGATTAAAAACTGGGATTTAAAACTAATAAAAGAAGGGTTTAGTTCGAGTCGAGAGACAAATCTAAGGGTAAAGTTCGGGTCGAGAGACGGATCCATGGGCAAGGTTCGGGTTGGGAGACGGATCCTAGGCTAAGGTTCGGGTTAAAATACGTATCCAAGGGTAAGGTTCTGGATGGGATACGTAACCAACGGTAAGGTTCGGGTTGGGAGACAAATGCCAGGGTAAGGTTCGGGTTGGGAGCCATATAAAATGGTAAGGTTCGGGAAGGGAAACAGATATAAGTATTGAGTTTGGGTTGGGAGACGAAATTAAGAGACCAATATAGTTTCGGGGAAAATTCAAGGGGTTAATTCAAGCTCGGAGATAGACTTATTAATTCAATCCTAGCTGGGCTTGAAGACAGACGATATTCATAGTTTGTTTTTTTTGTTTTCCAATAGTTGATAAGATTTAGGAACACTCCTTATTACCTTATTAAAGATTAATCTCAAGGAAGAGCAGGACGGACAGGACGGATGCGTCTCCGTGTGTACCGTGAGAACATGCATGGGAACATTACATATACCTGATACCCAGATGTGGTAAATTTGAAACAAGAGTCCTGGATTTATTTATTCAATCAAACCACAAGTTGGAGAGGGAGCATACACACGTCATTTATAGAACCTAGAGAAATAAAGGATTAAATTAAAGATTAATTAAGATTTTAAACAACTTAATTAAGCCAACAATAAGAATTTTGCTGAACCATTTATTATTTGGAAAATTATCCTGAATAATCTGTAATCCCAATATCTTTAAAGGGACCGTTCACTTATTTGTTTAATTTGAGGGTAAACTAAATAGCATATTAGCCATTCATTATTATTAGTCTTTCTTTTCAATGACAACTTTGGCCTGAAAAAATAGCCAATTTATCGTTATATTAAAGGTATAATATCTTTGCAGTTTGCATAGACAGTATTTAAACGTTTTTTTCAGTAACAAGAGCCCAATAAAATCTAAAATCACCATATTCAATGACATCATCATGTGTCAGCCATTATTCAACAAAATATTAAAAAGTTTTGATTTTAGAATTAGCAAGACATAACATTTTCCGTGTCCAAACATGATTTAACACGTTTATAGAAAGACTAACTTCTGTCTCCGTCAAACCGGTTCCTAAATTCCAACTCTTTAACAAATCATAGGGATTCCCCTGGGAAAGTAAGGAAAATCATAAAATGTATCAAACCGTCAAATGTTTGAAATAAGTTATATTTTGAAAATAGACAATTTTTGAATAATTTTGGAAAAAAATAAAGATATTTACAATTGACTATTAGATAATAAAATTTAATTTAGAATCTCTTAAATAAAAATCTACACAAATTTTAAGACCCCAAAAAGGAAACCCGGGAGTTTCGTTCAACGATACTCTTTTAAATTTCGGGCTCTGTACTCACTACTAAATGAAACCAATGAGCATTATAGTAAAGTATGATTATACTATGCTAAAGTTTTCCTTTTCAATTTTTAACCTATTCATAAACTACTCCCACTGAATAATCTGAAGTCAACCTTTATTGTGTAAAATATTGATTTTGATCTTGATATCCAGTGTGACCACTTTTGAATTTGAGAGGAATCAAAGGAACTGAGTTTTTTGCTACAAAGTCTGATATCTCTGCAACCCGATTTGATAGATATTAGATATTTCAAACTAGGAATTCTGTCAGATCAAATAAAAAGAAGTTAGTCAAGAGCATCTATATATTATTGTAACCATGTTTTTATACAGAGTGTCCCATGAAACATGACAGTAGCAAGACGACTTTTAACTTTTAATTTATTTGTGACATTCAGTTGTGAATCCATACTTTCATATTATGCTCTTGTAACAACAATCACAACATTATCCTAGTTCTGGCATTTCCGAAATGTGGTCTGCCTTCATTGTTCAGATTTAAATTTTATTAAATAAAACCGAAACTTTCCAAATCTTAACAAAATTCTTTAAATCTCCGGTAATATTGAAAGCACAAAAAAGGCAGACCACATTTGGAAATGCCAAGGCTAGGGGTTTTTTTGCGATTATTAACTTTAAAATTTTACGAGCAAATGCAGCGATTTGATTTTAAAATTCGTCTTGCTAGTGTACTGTCATGTTTCGTGGGTCACCCTGTATCTAAACATTTTCTCTACTTCCTGACACCTGGTTCAATAAGCCTGGGAGTTTTAATTCCCTTTACAGATATTTATGTTTTCAGGAACAGTTTAACTCACTTTACAGATATTTATGTTTTCAGGAACAGTTTAATTGACTTTACGATATTTATGTTTTCAGGAACCGTTTAATTCACTTTACAGATATTTATGTTTTTAGGAACAGTTTAACTCACTTTACAGATATTTATGTTTTCAGGAACAGTTTAACTCACTTTACAGCTTTATGTTTTAATTCACTTTACAGATATATGTTTAAATTCACTTTACATATATTTATGATATTTATTGAGGAACGACTATATATAATCATGTTTATCGGACACATTTAGAATGTTGAAAATTAACGGTTCATTTTAGTATAATATCGTACCTTCTTACCGATTATTAGCTAAATTTTCTCATTGAAATGCGTCAGAAAGTATAACACTATTCGTATAATCGGGATTTTGATTTTATCCTTTCCTGAACATATCATTTATCCTTCCCTGAACATCTCATTTATCCTTCCCTGAACATCTGATTTATCCTTTCCTGAACATCTCATTTATCCTTCCCTGAACCATTTATCCTTCCCTGAACCATTTATCCTTCCCTGAACATCTCATTTATCCTTTCCTGAACATCTCATTTTTCCTTCCCTGAACATCTCATTTATCATTTCCTGAACATCTCATTTATCCTTTCCTGAACATCTCATTTATCCTTTCCTGAACATCTCATTTTTCCTTCCCTGAACATCTCATTTATCCTTTCCTGAACATCTCATTTATTCTTCCCTGAACATCTCATTTATCTACTTTATTAATTAACTCAATTTTTAAACCAAGCTAAGAACATTCATGGGTTCTACCGAGGTCCCCAATCAGGTCCCAAACCAGGTGTTCATGAGTTATGATCGAAAATATAAACAAAGAGAGGGAAGAAGGGATCTTAAAGCTAATATTATGCACAGTACTGAACTATTCATAAGCAGGAAGAAATCTATACAGATAATGTCTTCTCATTGTAAACAAAATTTGAATTCTATATAACCAATCATATGCAGAAATCAATATATCCAGTCAACGAGACATCACTGCAACCCAATTCTCATTGAGAGTTCGATCAGGTCCAACAGTTTTTGGTCAAAATTCGAACTGAACGTTAAGAATTCTTCTATTGTCGCTAAGAGTGTTTAATTTTGATAATTCTCATATGATATCCAGCAGCAGAGAGAAACCACAAATGGACATAATCAGTTTTTAAAATCATAAATATTGATGTCTAATTCATGCTTAATCAGACAAATCGTTGCGAATTGGACATTACCATCTTAGTATCGATGGTCACTTGAAATTACGTATACAGTCCCTTTAAACTTCTCTCTTTGTACAATCTGTTTGCCGTGTTTTAACTGTATTTTATGATCTTAAGTTTGAATTCAACAAAATGATTTTATCCTGGTAGAATTCAAGGTTAAAGATCTGTGAAACCGCATTCTATAATTCCATAAATCTCTTGGTGTTTGTACCATCTTGATCAGTTTTGCAAAAGATCGATAAAGGGAGAACAAAGAAAAGACGGGGTTGGAGTCGAAAGAAGTGTTTTCCCAGAAATTGCTCAGTCACAGAATGAATAAGGTTTAAAATAAGATATTTGGCATTATATTGTATACTTAAGGATAATAAGAAAAGGTTAAAAAAACAACAAGAAAAAACATATTGCATAATTTAGACAGGTAAGGAAGAGTTATCTAAGCTTTTAAACATAGAAAAATGAAAATCTATTTAATAATATTCAACAGATGATGAGACTTTGTTGTCAATCAAGAACTTTAGAGATATCCTACGTTAAATCTAAAATTACAAATGCCATTGAAAAAGTTGTAACCATCGTATCTTAAGTCTTAGTCTCTTTCATATAAATTCACAAGTTCTAAAAGAATATCTGAGGAAAACTAAGATAAAATATAGTTTTCCTGAGATACCTCAATAATTTGATGGTTTTTGGTATAGTGTGCGCCATATAGAAGGCTCTAAATCTCACATTTATTTTGAGACTGTTGAGTAAAAACGCATTTTTAAATGGCAACAAACAATTCAAGATTTTTTTAGGCGAAAAATTGGATTTTTTTTTTTAAACTTGGAAAAAGGATAATTTATGAAGATGTTGAGATGTATTACCAGCTCAAATGAAACCTTTATATATCTAACTGAAAACAGATTTTTTTACATTCACCAATAATCTTTAATGTATAAGCTAAAACAAAATTGTCGTCAGTTTGGCTAATCAAAACTTTATGATCGCCACAGGCTACTTTGACTGAAATTTGCGATTTTTTTTCTTGCAAATATCTGATAGAAGACAGTAAAAAAGGAGTAGCAGAGCCCTTTTTTCAATTTTTGGTTTTAAAGTACTCTTTATAAAGGACTTTTCATAAAAGGTCAGATAAATTTTCACATTTTCCTCCAAAACCCTGGGAGCAACTCCAAAATCCTGGCAGCACTCCATAACCCTGGTAGCAACTCCAAAACCCTGAGAGCGGCCACCCCTCCCTCGTTGAACCCCTTTATTTGTCATATTTGTTCCTCTAATGTTTTTTGTTGCAAGGGTTGTATACGTTGTTCAGCTAAGGTATACTTCTTAAAATATACGACGGTGCTTTGATCTAAACTACAGGGGACTCATAAAACTGTGGGCAGGAAGACGACATGTAAGCAATTTTTTTAATATTTGATTTTACCAGTAATAGCTTTAAAATTAACTTATTAAGTGAATAAGCTTCTGTATACACTTTACATAATTGCTCTGTTTTTTAATTGGACTATTTCAATCACGCTAATTTAGGTCCCAGATTATGATGTCAATGCCTTTAGTTTTTTAAAGTGTGATGGATGTATTTTATTTAAAGAGAGGCATTGAAAAAGTATAAACATTCCTTTAATGAATAGAATATACAGTCAACGTAAACTCCATATTTCTCACATTTAACACATTTACGATAAATATATATTTTACAGTTATATGCATTCAGACCATATACTTGGTATAAACTTCGCAATAAATATAAATATTAATTGTTTAATTATTTCTTTGTTCTGAAGTATTAGAGCTGATAGAGATGTTGGTTTCATTTTCAATGCAGCTGCTGTTAAAAACTATAAATTAAAGGGACTGTAGTGATCTCTTATCTTGATCAGAATAACATGTAGTAATAATATTTCTTGATCAAGAACAATCTTTTACCTTATTGAGCCGAAAACTTTTTGTATTTCTGACTGAAAATAATGACGCCTCCGCCTCCTGTTCTCCAACCGCCACCGCCGCTACTCTTCGCCATTTATGTGCTCCATTGATGCACATTGCTCAACGTTTGTATCTAATCATTATTATGCTGAACCAGGAGAGCTCGTGTGAAAACAGCCTGAGCTATCTTATAGCTCCCCGGCCACAATATATATATATATATATATATATATATATATATAATTGTTTAGTCATTTTTATTAATATGAATGTTTTAAACTTGTGGCCTAAGAAATAAATGATTTGATTTGATTTGATTATTTCAAGTGACCCTCCAAGCAAAGATAGCAATGTCCGATTCAAGATGGTAACCTGAAAAGCTTAGTCTGATCATCACGCATGAATTAGATATCTATATTTATATTTTGAAAACTGATTATTTACAATTGCGGCTACTCTGCACTAGTTTGTGGCGGATGAAAACATGTGGGAACTATTACAAGTAAACGTTTTAAACCTAGATAAACCCGACAATATCTTCCACATTATTAATCAGATAAAGGTTTCAAGGGTATTGTAGTGAATCTAGAATTGTCATTTTTGCATGAAGGGTCCCTTTAATACATTTATGATTTATCATTTTAAAATTATATATTTATACAACACACGGCACCAATTATATCAATAGGCGTAAATTTAGACATTAAATATATTTCAGTGCTTGGAAAGGATTAATAATAATCATTATTATAGTCAAGAAGAATATATAAAGAAATATAAAGTAGAGAAGACTGATGAGAGAGGAGGTGGCCAATGAAGATACAAGGTGTTAAAGGAAGAAGAGATAAGGTGGTCAATGACAAAGGAAAGATGAAGATGATATTATGAGGAGGAGAGGGAAGATGAAGATGATACTAGGAGGAGGAGAGGGAAGATGAAGATGATACTAGGAGGAGGAGAGGGAAGATGAAGATGATACTAGGAGGAGGAGAGGGAAGATGAAGATGATACTAGGAGGAGGAGAGGGAAGATGAAGATGATACTAGGAGGAGGAGAGGGAAGATGAAGATGATACTAGGAGGAGGAGAGGGAAGATGAAGATGATACTAGGAGGAGGAGAGGGAAGATGAAGATGATACTAGGAGGAGNGAAGGAAGTTGGTTGGGAAGATAGGAGAAGTAACAGGAAAGGAAAAGGACAGGGAGAGAAAGAGAAGGAAGAGGATAGAGAAGAAGGCAGAGGAACTGAGGATAAGGAATAGGGTAGGAGAGGAGAAAGTTAGGGGAAGGAAGATGATAGGAGGAGAAGAAAGAGGATAGGAAGAGTGAAGGAGGATGAAGGAGGAGGGAAAGAGGAGAAGGAATAGGAACAGAAAATTAAAGGAGAGAGGTTGAGGGAGAAGGAAGGAGGAAGTAGTAGATAAAACAATAGAAGAATAACATGCAAAAATGGAAGGGGGGGGTGGTGTGTTCTGGCAATAGAGAAGTTATACCAACAAATAACAAATTTCATAAAATATAAAAGAATTATTATTTTATAAAAGACTTAAATGAAGACCTAAAAATCTTTCAACACTGCGTTGAGAAGATTACATCTTTAAAGTTTCTCTGTTTTTAACCTTGAAATGGTGTTAGACTCAAATGTTAAATTAAATATTATACTGCTATTAATAAAAAAAATTATGCAATTATTCATAAAAATACTTGTCAGCTGCACTTTTTGTAAAATCACTGTACAATGTACGGAGAAATATCTATCTATCAGATAAGAATTTTGCAAGAGACATCTAGCGGCCAACATATAGTCTCCCAACGTACGTGCACTTCACGATTTTTACCCTTTTTATAAAATAAACTCTAGCAGACATAATAATATTATAGCTTTTGAAATTAGGTATTACAATGCTAATTCATAACAAAGACGATATCGAATTCGTTACTGAATTCCCATGTTTTTTGGGACACCCTGTACATTCCTCCTACAAACTTCCTGTCTTATTTTTTTATAAAATATGATATTTATTAATTACATCTCAAATGATTCTTTATAATTCTAAATGTTACAAAAGCTTGGAGTTTCTCAGGACGGATTCTAATTTCTCAGGACGGATGGAGTGAGTTCTCGTAAACCCTTGAATCCTCTGATACCAACCTTCCTCCCAGCAACCTTCATACATAGTTTATACATCTTTATATAATACTTAATATATGCATAGCTTATTCAGAGTAAGAAACTTTTAAATAAAACGGAGAACAACTACTTAGATATAAATTGAAACTTTTGAATCTAAGAATTTAGCTTAATAGTTATGTAAATATTAAAATCCGCTGTAATTCCAGATCGTAAAATCTCATTTGTTGTATTTGGAGATTTCTCTTTGGTCCGATTTTGAACTTTGGCCAGTTCCTGACACAGAATATACTAGGCAACCTGTACAATGTACTGCCATTTTACAACCTGTACAATGTACTGCCATTTTACAACCTTTAAAATGTACTACCATTATACAACCTATACAATGTACTGCCATTTATACAACTGTACAATGTACTGCCATTTTACAACCTGTACAATGCACTGCCATTTTACAACCTGTACAATGCACTGCCATTTTACAACCTGTACAATGTACTGCCATTTTACAACCTGTACAATGTACTGCCATTTTACAACCTGTACAATGTACTGCCATTTTTACAACCTGTACAATGCACTGCCATTTTACAACCTGTTCAATGTACTGCCATTACCCTCTTCCAATACAGAATTATTGCTGAGAGTTTTTTAATTTGTAATATTATAACTTTTGTTGCTCTGTGAAAAAAAGTAAGTATGGATATGAATAATGATTAAATCCAACCTGACAGGCTAAGAGAAGGCATCTATCTAACTCCCAACCCTGAGAAATACAACCAATAATTGTTGCATTAAACGTGTCCCCGGCTCCTTGAAACAAATAAATAAAATTAGATTAATCATTTATTGAATTGATTTAACATATTCCGTAGTGTGTCCGGGTACTTAAAGGGACATACCGGCTATGTAAGGTAGTTGAACTGAGTATGCAGTGTTGTGGACGAATTCTTAAGGATTCATTTGAGATATATAAAACTTTTTAAAGATCTGTAAATCCTAGAGGGGAGAGCGCAAAGTTGACGTTCAAAATCATACTTTTGGGTGGATGCGTTTTCAGAATTGTTTTTTAAATTATTAAATAACGACGAAAAAAAAGTAAATAAAATTCTACTGTAAACTAATTAGTTGTTTAGGAACAGGTTGAGAAAATAAAAATTAATCTTATCATCGAAAATAAGTAATCTTCTTCAATTATTAGTTTCTATAATCTTTCCGGAATTTTTATTGAAAAGACGACATTTTAAGAATTTGTAGAAATCTGCGAACAGATTCAATATAATGATGAAAACAAAATAATTTATTCTATTTCTGACATTGATTTATTGACAAATTTCTTTTGAGAAATATGTTCCTAAACATCTAATTAGTTTACTGTATAATTTTTACTTTATTTTTCGTCGTTATTTTAAAATTTAAACAAAAAACCGATCCTGAAAACGTACCCACCAAATTTTATGAATTTGAACGTCGTGTATGCACTCAAACTCAGTAATTATACATCGTGGAAACGTTTTATACGTTCCGTACAAGACTGACCTTTGAAAGTGGAGTACACGGCCTGTACAGTTTACAAGTAGTAATTAGGATTAGCGTACACCATAACTATATATACTATATAACCTCGGTGGGTTATAATCTCTATTTTAAAATGCACAGATGTTTGAATTCACAAAGCATAAAAAAATAGGATAAAGTAATTCAAAAACCTTAAAATCGCCTTTAGATATAGCGTGAATTATACCTATTGTGTCCACTATTCCATCTGGGGGTGGAAAGGCCGGACTGGAGAATATCTTGGGTTCGGATAACTCATCAACTCTAACCAACTCTATGCTCAGATATTTCTATGAAAAAGTCTCTGGAAAAATGTTAAAACAAAGTAAAGTAGAGTATCTCGATGTTCCCTTGCCAAAATACAGGTAAATACGGGTAAATACGGGTAAATACAGGTAAATACAGGTAAATACGGGTAAATACAGGTAAATACAGGTAAATACAGGTAAATACAGGTAAATACAGGTAAATACAGGTAAATACAGGTAAATACAGGTGCTTTATAGTTCTAAATTATACACTTGAAGGGCTACAAAAAAGTATGAGTGAGCAAGTAAGATAAAACCAAAGGCCAAGGCGTTGCGACACTTCAATATCCTCACAGTCATAAATATTGGTGCATGAACTTTCTATGCAGTCTGGATCTATGTATTTTAGGTATTCTTATATTGGATATCTTTTTAAAATATGAATTAATTCAAAATTTAGCAAATTCTCATTTTAGAGAATGTTTGTATACCATTTACCTAAATACTTTTCCATATACAGTCCTGTACTTAGATAACATATTAAAAAAGATTATAAGACGACATTCAAAAAGTTTTTGTTAAAACCTAGAACTCTGAGCAGAGTTTGTTCCTGGTTGCAGATGCAGCTCCGTCCTCTCCCCAGGCAACCACTACTTTACCTCCTACCTTGATCTATACCACGAGAAGGAGATCATTACCTCAAACCTTAGACTAGGTGTAGGATTTGGCTGCTTTATTTCGAAACAGACAGATTACATTTTGGAAATCCCAGGATTAGGAAATTCAAATACGAATGGGGTTCGAATCGAGGGCTATTCGTCACAAAACTCTCTTGTTTATTCAGACAGCAAATAATCTAAATATTGGTCTATAAGGATTATGTCTCGATGCATAACTTAAATTTTTATTTGAGTTTCTATGATCTTCTCCTGATTATAAAAATATCTTACTGCCTCCTGCTTATTCTTACACCCATGAAACGAAGCCACATCCTAAACAAAAAACAATATTAGCAATTAATCTGTAAATAAGAAAAAAATCTCTCTGATACAGGACAAAAAACTACAGGTAACAGAGACCTAACTTAGCTTAGCCTAAAATCTAACTTATGTTTCCATGGATAAGTTTGGTCTTCTACCAGTATTGCCAGGCGCATAAAGCAGATTCAAACACATAAAGACGAAACAAAATATCGTCTTCCAAATGATTTTCTTTTTATTTACCTTTGAGATTAGAACTAGGTCAGGGAACTGAATAAATTCCTCGAAACCTCTCCCAACCTTCTCAACCTCTACAGAGAATCTAACTTGATCCTGGTTGGTTAGGAACTCTAGGATCTGGAGAAGGTTCTCCCTGTTTCTCCCCTCTAGGTGAACCCACAAATATTTGGTTAAATCAATTTTCTTAAAATCCTCCAGGGTCAACTCCGGTAAACCTGAAAAAATGTTAAAATATTCCGGTTTTCATTAGAGCTTGTTTCTAGGTTTGTATTAGAGCCTGAATCTAGGTTTGTATTAGAGCCTGTATCTAGGTTTGTATTAGAGCCTGTATCTAGGTTTGTATTAGAGCCTGTATCTAGGTTAGTATTAGAACTTGTTTCTATGTTTGTATTAGAGCCTGTATTTAGGTTTGTATTAGTGTAGAACCTGTTTCTAGGTTTGCATTAGAGCCATTATCTAGGTTTGTAATAGAGTCTGTATCTATGTTTGTATTAGAGTTTGTATCTAGGCTTGTATTAGTGTAGAACCTGTATTTAGGTTTGTAAATTATAGCCAGTATCTATAGGTTTGTAATAGAGCCTGTATCTAGGATTGCATGAGAGTCTGTATCTAGTCTACGCGTGTATTAGAGCCTGTATCTAGGATGGCATGAGAGTCTGTATCTACCCGTGTATTAGAGCCTGTATCTAACCTAGGTTTGTATGAACTATTGTCCTGGATCCATTGAACTGGTTAAGCAGGATAACTGAGTTTGGACAGATGAAACCTAAATAATTAAATATTCTATTATTGACCTGAATATTTTTGATTGATAAGAATACTAATCAATCTAGCCTGTGGGGACCTGTTATAATAATAATTAAAATCATTTCAAATTCTGTCATCGAGCTTAGAGACCATAGAGACCCCTGGTGTGGAGTATACTTCTTGTCTTGTATGTATTTTAAGAACCATAGAGACCCCTGGAGTGGAGTATACTTCTTAGAGACCATAGAGACCANTGAATAACTAAATGGCTAAATCTGATAAGGCCAGGAAATGTATTTACGAAAACTGAAATATACTTTAAATTATTTTAAATTCAAAGATAACCGAATTGAAAGGCTCCAGATTGAAAGAGGAATCAAAGTAAATGTTCAATGAAACTCGAATAGCAAAAGCTCTAAGTTCTCTCTATGAGTTTAAATCTTAATGGTTTGAATAGAGGACAATGACCTGGATATTTAGGACATGCTTCTATATCTATACCCATCTCATTCATATTCTGGAGTATATACTCCGTCTCAGGATTCGGTTTCTCAGGGTTGTCTGTTAAACTGGCCAGGGTTCCGAAGAAAGTTGGTTTGAATCCTAGCTCTGCAAGAACGGAGCAGCTATTGCTTGCATTTCCTCCACGAATCTAAATAAACAGAAACTACTGAATGCATCTAAAAATACGATTTGCAAAAAGAATCGAAAAGTATAATAATTGCACGTACAGAGTTACCCACACATGATGAGACTTTAGAGACTTTACGGAATTTATACTCTCTGTTTCATTATTTTTAAGATTCCCTGCAACAGATAACTTGTTTATTTCTTTGCCAAATCAATAAATAAGTCATTAAAAGACTATATATATAAATTTAAAACTGAAGACTTATTTTATCCTTGGGATCGGTTTTGAAAGTTTTAGGTCGTCTTTACATTCTCATCCTTAAATGGTAGCTCTGTATCTTGCCTAAACATCAAAAAGATAATTATGCAATAGTATATGATGAAATTTATGAAGATGTAATTTTCGGCTGAAAATGATAAAATCGTGTATGATGAAATGTATGAAAATGTAATTGTCGGCTGAAAATGGATAAAACGCATTTGATGAAATGTATGAAAATGTAATTGTCGGCTGAAAATGGAAAAACGTTTATTATGAAATGTATGAAAATGTAATTGTCGTCTGAAAATGGATAAAACGTATTTGATGAAATGTATGAAAATGTAATTGTCGACTGAAAATGTTTAAATCGTATATGATGAAATGCATGAAAATGTAATTGACGGCTGAAAATGTTTAAATCGTATATGATGAAATGTATGAAAATGTAATTGTCGGCTGAAAATGGATAAAACGTATTTGATGAAATGTATGAAAATGTAATTGTCGGCTGAAAATGGATAAATGATGAAATGTATGAAAATGTAATTGTCGGCTGAAAATGGATAAAACATATTTGATGAAATGTATGGAAATGTAATTGTATGCTAAGACTGTTTTGAATGTAAATAATGAAATGCCTGAAAAGAAAATTATGCTAAACACAGAGCTGCTAAACAGGGGGGGCATGGGGGTTCAGCTCCCCCCCCTGGATCTATAAAATCTAGGATTTCCAGGGGTTTTCAAGCCCCCAACGGGTGCTAAGCCCATGCCCCACATGGAAAAAATAGATATCCACGATTGAGGGCAGTTTTAAGCCAGTCGAAATTAAAACTTTCAACTTTCGACTTTCAAAAATTTCGATTTCTTAAAACAAATCTGCGAAATCATAGATTGTAAATTTTTTATAATGTACAAAGAAAAGCAAGTTACATGTAAATTCTTTTTTCTTGATATTTCAAGCAATGACTATTTGATCTAACAGAATTCATACAAATATCTAAGATCTACGACATCGGGTTGCAAAGATATACTTCAAGACTAGAGTTTGTGGCAAAACCTGATTTTCTTTATGCAAGAACGAGGGGTGCAAAGCGCCTGAAATCCTGGTAGATTTCAATATATGTACTATGTATGATGGAGAAATTATGAAGTTAATACAGGTTTCCATTTCTAGTTACTGACGGTGATTTAAAAATTAATAATACTCCCCCCCCCCCCCCCCCCCCATCACGCACATCTTTTACATTCATAGGCTAGTTGGCTTACGTTTTACAGGAAAAGATTAAATAACAAAGAAAAAATTAAATTAATTTAGAAGTTTTTTCGAACTAACCTTGTACTGATCCAAACTCCTTTGATCGGTATCTTCTACAGGGAAATTTCTTCATCATAAAACAAAAATCTTCATTTAAAAAAAGTTGATTAAAATGTAGGATGGAATTTCAGGCTAAAACCTTAGTATTTACCCTGACGATTTGTACTACAATGAACTGTCAGAGCAGAGTTCAGAAGAAATAAAATCAGAAACCATGCAGAGGCCGTTCCTTCATAACTAACGTATGGACAATGTCCGTCCCAATAACGTACTTTGGGGAGCGATAATTGGCCGGTAGATGTCTGCTGGTAGATTTATATATATATCTGAGAGAGGACGCAGATCGGAGACATCATCTGGTCGAACAATGTAGTGTTGGGGTGAAGCGCACTGCGGAGGAGAGGGATTTCTGAAGGATTTCGTGATTTTTCAATAAATCAACCTTAAACCCATAAAGGCTGGGGTCTGCCCAAGCCCCGCCCCCCTTAGAAAAAGGTTTTAGAGAATAGGTTGAAATGCATGTTCATAGCCCAATTTTTCAAGACACCCCCCAACCCAGCCTGTTTAGGGTTAAGAGTGACTAGTCCGTTTAGATTTTTTCTCCCTATATATCTCTCCAGACAGAATCCTGTTATAAAACGAAACCATTCTCGGACTTTCTAATCTTGCTTTGATTTTGAATTAACAGAGAACAGAGAACATAGAACAGAGAACAGAGAACAGAGAACAGAGAACAGACAACAGACAACAGAGAGCAGAGAACAGAGAACAGAGAACGGAGAACAGAGAACAGAGAACAGAGAACAGAGAACAGAGAACGGAGAACAGAGAACAGAGAACAGAGAACAGAGAACAGAGAACAGAAAAAACGAACAGAGAACAGAGAACAGAGAACAGAGAACATAGAACAGAGAATAGAGAACAGAAAACAAAAACAAACAAAAAAACAATTAAAAAAAATGAAAAACCTGACTACTGTAACGATATCTAGACACACCAAGCCACAACACAAAATCCTTTTTTCATCTTCCATCTTTTCTGTAAATAAGAGAGTAAACAGGAGTTTAGTAAGAAACAGACAAAGTAGATGTGAACTAGAGGTAAATAATGATGAAAGGGTTGAGTGAAAACAGGAAACAGGAGTTTAGTAAGAAACAGACAAAGTAGATGTGAACTAGAGGTAAATAATGATGAAAGGGTTGAGTGAAAACAGGAAACAGGAGCGAAGAGAAGGAAAAATTTCTGCATTAACAAAATCCAATGCATGAAAATTTAATTATATCAAAACCTTGAAACTGGACTTTTTATTAACTCTTCATTATTAAAATGTACAACTAATTATCCTAATCTGGTGCAAAGGTTTAAAATGGTACAACCAGGCGTTAACAGATGATTCCGGTTAACAATTCAGGGGCGTACACAGGGCGTATGTGGGCTGACCCCTCTCTAGATAAGTGACAAAAATGGTTAGGGTATTTCAACTCCAACGGGGGTTAAGCAACCTCTGGAAAGTAAAAGAAGGTTAAGCCCCCAGGATAAATTTCCTGTAAAGCTTATATAATCATGATTAACAATAACGTAGCACTATAGTTTCAGTAGAAGTAAATATTTCTATTTACTGTTATAGTGCCGATACAAGGATTTATCTCTAATTGTATAATGAGATAGATAGAAAGATAGATGTTACCGCTATGAATGTTTCTATTGCTTCAGAATAGACAACAAACACAGGGCTGAACCCTGATTGGATCTAGCGCTAATGGACTCGGCATACATGAGTGGTAGAAGCATTAATAAAAGAAAGCTATAAGTAAGGATGACGGTTTACATAATTTGCGTTGTATGTTTTACATAAATTCACATCTACATTCATATCTCACTCCACGATCTTAAAACTTCAAATACTGTCACTATTTCATTCAAATTTGCGTTGTATGTTTTACATAAATTCACATCTACATTCATATCTCACTCCACGATCATTAAACTTCAAATACTGTCACTATTTAATTAAATTTGCGTTGTATGTTTTACATAAATTCACATCTACATTCATATCTCACTCCACGATCTTTAAACTTCAAATACTGTCACTATTTAATTAAATCGTTTTAACTTTTTAGTATATGTATTGTATATCAAGAAAACTCTACTAAAACTAAATTTGAAAGAATTTATTTATTCTAATCTCAAACATGTGTATTGTGGTCTCAGCTCACAGACAACAAAGAGACTACATAATTTAAGGATTGTATACAATTAGAGGATCTTGATCAAATGTTTTCAAGGATTGTACAAGGATAGGTTGACATGTAATTCAAGGATTGTATTGAAGGATAGGTTGACATCTAATTCAATGATTGTATACAAGGATAGGTTGACATCTAATTCAAGGATTATATACAAGGATAGTTTGACATCTAATTCAAGGATTGTATACAAGGATAGGTTGACATCTAATTCAAGGATTGTATACAAGAATAGGTTCACATATAATTCAAGGATTGTTTACAAGGATAGGTTGACATCTGTTAGTCTATGTCAATAGATCAGCAGTGGTTCGGTACAATTTCGGCTAATACATGTAAATGGAGTAGCGACTATAAACAGTCTATTTTCTCTATGGCCCCGAGCTTGTTTCACTCTAGAACCTGTTTTTTTTTCTGTAAATACAAGATATTGTGTTGTACATGAATACTTATGTTTTTAGGCACTTAAAAAATACATATTTATAGATTAGCAATTCTTGGTTTTCCAATCACTATTTTTCTAGCTTTCTCTAAAATCTTTCTTTCACTCTTCCTTCTTTAAAGTTTTGTTTTGAACAAATTCTTTATCTTCTCTATTTTTCCTCCAAATCACTTTACTTTCTATTCCCCGGTGTTTCTTTCTCTTTTTTCCCCATTAATTTTCAGGACGTACNTTCGGCTAATACATGTAAATGGAGTAGCGACTATAAACAGTCTATTTTCTCTATGGCCCCGAGCTTGTTTCACACAGAGTATACACGACCGCAATTGACTTTCCTTGACAATATGTATCGTTTCTATGAAAATATAGATGTTTTTAAAGAAACGTTTCCATCTCTATTTTTCACCCATTGAAGCTTACACAACAGTATTAAGAGGAAGTGTCTGATGAGCCCACTTAAGAAAATTACATTAATAATTTATTAACACTTATTTTATGGAAGTGTGCATATGATCGAATAATTTACATAGTTAAAAAAGGTATCAGTATTTTTCAAAAAAGAGATTTTATATGGGGGGGGGCACGAAATTTTTTTTGGCGCGGTGCAGTGTCACCTCCCTGCACAAATGCTCTCGTACGCCCCTGTTTATTTTTTCATTTCGAACTAATTTTCTCTTTTTTTCTGGTAGCCTCATCTTTTTAATATTTACATTCATCTTTGCTCTTCCTTTTATCTCTCTGAATGTGTTTTAGTTTATAGTTCCATTTTCTCATTTTTATTCTCTACTTCTTCTAATATCCTAATCACTTTCTTATTCCTCATCTTCATTACTTGTCTCTCACATTCAAACAGTCTCTTATTCTATTCTGGTTTCATCTACCTTTTACCTTTTCACCTACTTTCTAACATTATTTATTGCATTATGACTGTAAACCTTTTGTTTCATTTTCTCCCTTGGTATAATGTCCTTTAATTTTTAAACTAATCTTATTCTTTATCTGAGAAGTTGTTTGACCAGTTCTGGAGTTTCTAAATGGTTCTAATATATATAGTTTGACGTCAGAAGCCGGGATGCTAAACAGGTTTATGTTGTTTTCTTTCAATCTTCATTCAGGTTCGCTAACCTTTATCAGTTGGGCTTCCAAAAAACGTTTTCACCATTGAAATCGAGGATTAGGGGTAATACTCGGTTTATTTCTTATAGAAACCGAGCATTAGGGGTAATGGTCGGCCATTATGACCATGTCGTTGAAGAGCCCCAACTTTGCATTGAAGATCCCCATATTATCATTGGAGACCCAAGCTTTTGAGATCCAAGATGTTCGTTACAGACCCCCAGAATTTCATTGGAGACCCAAATGAATTCATTGGAGACCATAGATTTTCTTTGAGACCGAATGATATTCTTAGGAGAAACCCAGATTATCATTGGAGACCCCAATCTTGTTATTGAGACCCCAAACTTTTCATTGGAAACCCCAGATTTTTTAAATAGAGTTTTCCAGATTTTTATTGGACACCCCAGATTTTCGATGAAAACCTTCAGATTATCATTTCATATTATTCTCTAAAGAGAATATGGGGTCTCCAATGATAAATTTGGGGTCTCCATTGAAAAATCTGAGGGTCGGCAACGAAAATCTTCAGTTCTCAATGAAAAGCTGGGAGTCCCCAATGATAATCTGGTGGTCTCCAATGAAAAGTTTTGGCTCTCCAACGAAATGGTCGTAATGCTTGGCTTCTATAAGACAGAACCCGAGTATTATCCCATAACGCTAGGTTTAAAGGCGAGAAAGTGTTAGAGTTTCCCGACTGTTAATCATCTATATTCTATGTTTTAATGGTGTCAGTCGGTACCAGGACAAACGTCGGACGGTACAAACCCAAGACTTACAAACATCGGACAGGACAAACGTCGGACCAGGACAAACGTCGGACTAGTACAAACGTCTGACTGGTACAAACGTAAGACAGTACAAACGTTGGACCAGTACACACGTCAGACCAGTACAAACGTCGGACTAAGGAAAAACAATTATTTGAAGTTTGAAATTTCAAAAAAGTATTTCCTTTCATTGATTGGTTTATGTCAAATCTACCCAACTGAGTTCTTGCCACCAACTCAAATATTCTCATACCTATATCTTTGCAACCTGGCAATGGTATTCAAATTTAATACTTTCAAACTTAATCTTTATGATCTTATGGATTTCATAGGTTGAAATATTAAAGGTTATACGACATCGGGTTGCAAAGATTTAGGCATTTTGAAGCATTATGGTTTGTGACAATGGAACCAAAATCCATTTTGGTTTGTTGTTTTATACAGTGCTACCTTCACAGGATGAGACTTTATTCAGCTGTCTTTGATTTGTATCACAATAAGTAAGTGATTTTTTATTTATTTCTTATAGCAATGATCTTTTCTTTCAATCTCAACCAAAGTCCGACGTTTTTTCTAATAAATGAACCCGTCCTGACGTTTGTACCAGTCCGTCGTTTGTACAAGTCCGACGTTTGTACAAGTCCGACGTTTGTACCAGTCCGACGTTTGTACCAGTCCGTCGTTTGTAAGTCCGACCTTTGTAACGTCTGACGTTTGTGGGTCCGCTATTTGTATACTGGTATACCTGTAAACCAAATGATTTTGAGAGAAGTGACATCAAAGTGGGGGGGGGGGGCGGTTCTATAAATACAGGATCACCCACAAAGGATGAGACTTTAAGAGACGATTGTACAGTATTTGTTTAATCTGTTTGCGGACCAAAACAGGATTATTTCTGGGCTTAATCATTTAGTAAACCATCATAATACGCAATTGAATGCAGAAATAAATTAAAAATCAAGCCAAAAAATTATCAATTTTTTTAGCTTTGGGTCGTCTTAACAGTCTTATTTTTTGTGGGTAACCCTGTATATCCAAAAAATATTACGATTATAATTTAGAAAGCTCAACGAATAAAAACAGAAAAATCTTTGAAAGCACGTATTTTTCAACTTACGCCACGCTACGCTCGAGATGTTTGAGTTCTGATGAAGGGAACCCTCGGTAATTTAATATTCAATCCTATATTTCTTTCCCTGTTTTCTTCCCTAATTTGAAGAGATAACTAGTTAGTTATCATTATACGGTTCTCTGTTCATCATTAACAATGTTGTTAAATCTAAAACCTGTTTCTTGAGTTTCTAATTTATTACCAAACCTCGACTTGTAGATTGAGTAAACTGATTTTGAAACATCAAGTTCAAAATGTCATATTATGGAAACAGTACAGATACAGAAGAGTAGGTTGGCACTTAATGGAGAGGAAAGTGGACACTGGTCAGAGCGGAGCAAACTCTCATATCAGGCCTGGGGTGGAGTAGAGTGGAACTACTGAGATTTGATCAGTTGTCAGTTTGTTCTCTAGTTAACATGTTAAATCCAACCTTACTCCACATCTAAATAACATGTTGAACCCAACCTTACTCCACATCTAGTTAACATATTGAACCCAACCTTACTCTACATCTAGTTAACATGTTGAACCCAATCTTACTCCACATCTAGTTAACATGTTAAACCCAACCTTACTCCTCATCTAGTTAACATGTTAAACCCAACCTTACTCCACATATAATTAACATGTTGAACCCAACCTTACTCCATATCTAAATAACATGTTGAACCCAACCTTACTCCACATATAGTTAACATGTTGAACTCAACCTTACTCCTCATCTAGTTAACATATTGAACCCAACCTTACTCCATATCTAATTAACATGTTGAACCCAACCTTACTCCCTGAGGGTCGGCAACGAAAATCTTCAGTTCTCAATGAAAAGCTGGGAGTCCCCAATGATAATCTGGTGGTCTCCAATGAAAAGTTTTGGCNCTAGTTAACATGTTGAACCCAACCTTACTCCACATCTAGTTAACATGTTGAACCCAACCTTACTCCTCATCTAGTTAACATGTTGAACCCAACCTTACTCCTCATCTAGTTAACATGTTGAATCCAACCTTACTCCACATCTAGTTAACATGTTGAACCCAACCTTACTCCTTATCTAGTTAACATGTTGAACCCAACAGAGTTCGGATCTTAGCAAATAAGGTTCTTGTATGGCTCCAGAAAGATGTGTGTACATGGATGATCATAAACTATTATTTACGCAACAAGCGGTTGCCCAACTTGCTAGAAAGAATAAAACACTACAACTCCAGAAGATTAGTTTTGGTCAGATCTGTAATTTTTTTTGTACTTTTAGGTCAGGGTAAAAAATCAACTCATTTATGGTCCGTAAAATGTAAAATATTAATGAAGACTGTGCTGCCCTTCTGTAAAAAGAAAGTTAGCTTTAGAACAGACATTTAATGATTATGGTCCACCCCAAGCTAAACCCAACCAGAGGCGTATTCAGGGGCGGGTCTATGGGGGCTATGCCCCCCACCCACCCTGGACCCCCCCCCTTTACAGAATCCTTATTTACGCCCCTGAATCAAATATTGATTAATGTACCCTGGAGGTCTTACAAGGGCGCAAAGTCGTTCTTTCTTGCCCAACTCAGAAAAATTACTTAAAAAATTAGGAGCTTTTTAGGATATTTATTATCGTCCAAGGTACTAATGAAAGGACAGTTATTTCAGAGGTGTATGCCTTTTTTTATTGCAGTGTACTGTCTTTGGGTGGAAAAGTTAACAGAAGACGGATTCCACAGCCAGACGGGATCGATTTTCACAAAAATAATCAATGAAATATTCTGGTCATCCAAAACTATTATGTGAATTATCAAAATTATCACCATTAAATGCTTTAATCCTCCTCGGATACTAGACGAACACTGGTGCATCTATTCTTGTTTACAAATTCCGTCCAGAGAGAACTGGTTTCAATTATGTACGCAGAGTATACGCGACCGCAATTAACTTTCCTTGCATTATAACCTTGTTATCGTCTATGTAAAAAGTACGAGAACAATCAAAACAATAATAAACAAATTCTGAACTCTAGAAGAAGAAACATCTACGGATTGCAGACAAGGAGTATGGAAAAGAAGGAAGATACAACTGACGCGGCCCGCCCTATCATATGATTATGCATGCTTTGCAGACGGGCACTCCATAAGAAATATTCAGAATAGGTTATAAACATAACATACATAAATATAATAACATAACATAAGCATATAATATTCAAAAAACATAGCATTTCCTGCAAGAAAATTTTTACATTAGCCTTATTCAATTTTTCAAAATGATTTATTCTTCTTAAATTTTCTAATTAGCCCCAGAAATTGTAATTTAGACTCATTGACGATCTATTATGAAATGGGACACCCTGCAATAATCATATGGTAGGGCGGACCGAGTCAGTTGTATCTTCCTTCTATGCCATTGCCATACTCCTTGATTACAGATTTCCTATCAGGTATCACTATAATGCATAAAAAAATCATTTACAAAGACGATATAAAAATCATCACTGAATTCCAATGTTTATTGGGAAACCCTAGTATACTATCTTATCGGCTTCCATCTTGTAAATATCAAAATAAGTAATTTATTGAGTTTAATCTTGATCTAGATTTAAACCTTAAAAATATCCATTAATCAGCTTAAAAATGAAGCGATATTAAAACTTTAAGGTGTGAAATCAAATCTCCCAGCTCAATAGGTTGATAATTTGACAACATAGTAAAATGAAGTACAGTCCCTTAAGAATAAGATTCTGCTGCTGATAAAGCACAGGCAACCTGCATTTGTACTTATACTTCTGCAATATCTGCACGCAAGCTTTAGAAGCTAAAACCGGCTTTTGTTTTCCTCCAGAGTACAAAGTTTTTGCCAGTCTAATTAAGCATAGAAAACTGAGTTAAGTTTAGTTTTAGAACGAGAAACTAAACTTAAGTTTAGTATCCAGAGTATAAACTACAGCCGCAGAATCTTATCCTTTACAACAACAAGACTTGATTATCATGGGAAAGTTAATAATGAGCTAAAGGAATAGGATCAGTTCACACAGGGGCGGCTTACAATATTTTCCAGGGGCCGAAATATTTTAATATGTCAAGACCATGAAAAGATGCGGGTGGGAAAATGTGTAACTAAATTTTGGATTTTTATGTAATTTCATTAAAAATCTTCATTTTGAGTGATTAAGTTGCGACCAGGGAAAATATTTTTGAATCTATTCTTGAAAAACAAAATTAAAGGGCTAGAAGGTTCCTGTTTTCTCGACTTGCACCCCTGATTTTCCCAAGGCCCCCCCCCCCGTAAGATGCCACTGAATTTACAAATTTTATAAAAAGCCTTTATCTTTTTTATGTTCATAATTCATGTTTTATGTTCATAATTTCAAGTTAAATGTTCCCAAAATTCCTAAAAAAAATCCAAATATATATTTCTTAAACTTTATTTTTGTTTCAGATTAGTTAAGATACAAATGAGTGGCTAAATCAGATATTTACAACTACAGCTTCGTAATGATAGGGATGTCACATTTTTATGTACAATATTCACAGTACAGTACAGTTACAGAGTACAGTACAGTACAGTTACAGAGTACAGATATATGGGAAGAAAACACAATGCCAGCGGGTTATAATAAAGGTTTTTAAAGAAGTTTTTTACAAGTTTTACAAGTTTTTTTCCGACATTGTCATGATGAAATTATAACTAACTTTTGACATTTTTAACAGTGCGACTTACACCTATTCTTATTCTTCTTCCATCAGTTCTCACAGACACATCTTTAGGTAAAATAGATATATATATAAATACTTTGCTTCTCTGTCTTTCTGTTTGTATCCAATAAACGTTAAAACGGCTGAACCAGTCTGGACCAAATTTGGACCTCGCATGACTCCAGGGAAGGTTTATTTATGGATGCTCAGAATTACAAACAGTTGTCTCCAAAGTTTTGAAAATCAACCAAAAAAATATTTTATAATCCGCGAACTTCTTTTGCTGTTGTTTTACAATGTATACAAAGAGAAAAAGTTCACAGTTAAAATAGAAGATTGGGCAAAGTTCCTTGAAAGCCTGAAATAGAATTTAAAAAACTGGAGCAGAAACTTGACCAAAACGAAGATATTAATGACAGATGGTATATAACGGATGAAACATTATTGAATTACAAACATACTTAAATCTCTATTTTATGAAAATTTAAATACATTCCAAAATAAATTATAACTTTGTTATTTTCCCGGGGGACTTTTTGAACTTTTGTTTTAAATTACTCTAGCACCTTAATCATTAAACATAGCTTTTAGTTTGACATTGACCTAATCCTGACAAATAAAGCGGAAAGGAACTGTTTCTAATTTTAAATAACCCTCTATTTAAAAACAGAGCATTATATGCCCGATTTACAATATTTTGATGCAGAACATGAGTTCTCCCTGTCATAACAATCATGACTTCTCAGATTTCATTCAGTTTCAAATATATAAACAACTTGATTTTCTTTCAGGTCATTCACATTCATCAATCCCAGCTCATTCATCCTCATCCTTGTCCTCTCATTCATCCTCATCCTCATCCTCTCATTCATCTTTATCAAACCAGGTAAATACAAAAAAGTAAGAGTTTCTTTAAAGGTACTGTAAAGATGTTGTACTGTACTGTACTGTACTGTACTGTAAAGATGTTGTAAAGATGTTTAAAGGTACTGTAAAGAATATACTAAAGATGTTGATCGCGACCAATATTAGTTCTATCTGATGTCCCTGTCTCAAGAAATTGATATAAAACTGTGTCAAAGTTATGCCAAATCTTATATATTAGTTTTGGTCCCTATTTACATCAAATTACTCCATGTCAAAAACTCTCGAGTTTCCTTTTTGGGGTCTTTTGTGTAGATTTTTGATTAAAGAGAATATGAAGAAACTAAATAAAAAAAATTCATAATAAAAATATAGATATCCACAAAACTGCCTAACCCCATTCGTAAAACCCGGGTTTTAAAACTGGTTTTCATAACGATACGCCGGCTTAAGTTTTGGGCTCAGAGAGCAAAACTTAAGAGAGTAACATTGAACGAAACTCCCGGGTTTCCTTTTTGGGGTCTTAACATTTATGTAGATTTTAAGCTATTCTAAGAGATTCAGAAAAATGGAGAATATGAAGAAACTAAATAAAATATAATTCATAATAAAAATATTGATTTTCACAAAAACTGCCTAACCCCATTCATGAAACCCGTGTTCCAAAACTGGTTTTCATAACGATACCCTGTCTTAAGTTTTGGGCTCTGGACAAGTGGAGGAAAATGTACGCTGTGACGTGTGTATTTCGCTTAATCAACTATACTGATCATGCATTGTTGTTAATAATATTAGGTGTAGTACGTAAAGGGATATGAAAATAAACCAAAATTTAGTGGGGGGGGGAGTTTATTCATGGTCTATTTGGGTTATAAAAAGAATGGTAACTTTTTCTTCACCTTAATTCATTGATAAAATGGTAAATGAAGACAACTTTTCATAAATATACAGTACTCCCCAAAATAAAATGCTGAGCATTGATAAAAGGGTAAATGAAGATAAATTTTCATAAATATACATTATTCAATAATAAAATGGTAAATGAAGACAACTTTTCTTTAGTGTGCAATCATTTTTCAAGAAGCACTGTATATTTATGAAAAGTCATCATCATTTACCATTTTATTTTGGGGATTATTGTATAGTAACAAGAAGTTGCCTTTATTTACCATTTTATTTTGGGGAGCACTGAATATTTTGAAAAGTCTTCAATGCTTACCATTTTATTTTGGGGAGCGCTGTATATTTATGAAAAGTTTTCTTCATTTACCATTTTATTTTGGGGAGCACTTTATATTTATGAGAAGTTATTATGTACAATTAAGGTGAAGAAAAAGCTACAATTCATTTTATAACCCAAAATGCCCATAAATACCCCCCCCCCCCCCCCCCAACTAAACTTTAGTTTATTTTCATATCCCTTTTCTACGTACTGCAACTACATCAGTGTAGTTGATTTAGCAAAATACACAGGTCATAATCTAGCGTGAATTTTCCTCCACTTGTCCTGACGGGCAATATTGTATGATTATAGATAATATTTACAAATAAATTCAAACATAAAAGTTTGTCTATTTATGATAGATTTATTTAATTTTATTTTATTTAACTTTTTTTTGAGGGTGTTGTGAACAGTTCACCAATTTATCCTTCATCATACTCTAGGGAAATAACATTATAACAACAACAACAAATTATTTCTTAAACTTATAAAAAATAATTCTGCGCTGCTTGACAATGTTAAACACTACAATAACGAAATAATGCTCTTCAAAATGCTTTTAATTAAGCGTATACCACAAAGAACGTGATTAATGTATTTTACAGAACATTTAGACAATTTGTTAAAAAATTTAGATTTGGCTTGATGTTTAGAAACATTTAACGGAGTTATAACCACAGAACTGAGATCAGTATGGAAACAGTACAACAAAATGGCGGTTTTACACTTTTTCAAGTTAATTCCTCTCTATACTAATCTATTCTCTTTGGTTTTAGCTACAACATTTTATCATTTGAAATAAATCGAGCCTTTTTGCCACAAACTCTGATTTTCTAATCCCTAACCCAATGTCGTAGACCTTAGATATTTCCAACTATAAATTCTGTTAGATCAAATATTTTAAGTTTGAAATATCAAAGGTTAAAAAGATTTAGGGAATATGAGTTTGTGGTAAAGACTTGCAATTCCTTTTAGGAATTTATTTTCATGAATGATAAAATAAAAGTAATAATATGTCACGCGTCAAAACTAGAGAAAGTTTATATTATCGCAAAAACCTGGCTAATTGTTGTCAAACAGTGCAGATTATTTCTCAATATAAGCATCCAACTGTGCAAACTTAAAATAATTCATTTTCACGAAGGCGGGGGGGGGGAGGGGGCGGCCAGTAAGGGTCTAGGGCGGATCAATGCTAGAGTAATCTCAACGCCGCGCCTGGACTTTTCCTGGTTGGGTACATTCCTAATAATTAATTCTCCCACTTTCAACTCTATTCATTGTAATGTGTCGCGGACCATTCATGATTTTATTTTGGCAAGCGGATAAATCCTCGCAATAATTATATAATGTTTTTTGCTGGTTAGCCATGATGTAAAGTGCAGTAGAAGTATAGACGTAAAATCAGTTTATTATTCTATACAAGAAATAGATTATAAACTTCACACTATACTAAAGTCCATCCCACCAGCTATAGAAGAAGCAAGGTAGGTCCAGCATCATCAAGTGGGATATTTGATTCACAACTGTATCCTTTCAACATTTCTCTAATCAACGAGGACGGAGAAATACTTATTTTACAAGTTAAGAATTATTTTCCATGACCTAAAAGGCACCCAGCTTTCAGCTAGAAAAGGAATAATATCCCAGTCATCCTTGCTCAGACAAAATGGCTTAAAATTGGATAAAATGGAATTAAATATGGAATAAAATGCGATAAAATGGGAAAAAAAATTTTAAAAATGGGATAGAATGGGAAAAAATGGAATAAAATGTGATAAAATTGGAAAAATTAGATAAATAAAGTGAAATAGGAAAATATGAGAAAAATTAGATAAAAAAGGATAAAATGGGAAAAAATTATGTAAATGGGATAGAATGGGAAAAAATGGAATAAAATGTGATAAAATTAGGATAAAATGGGATAAAATGGGATAAAATGAGATAAAATGGGATAAAATGGGATAAAATGGGATAAAATGGGTCACAAAAAGGACGAAATAAAACTTTAAAAAATGTACATTCTCTTCTAAAATAATATTTTATCCTGTACAATTATTTCTCATGAATTGTATCACAGCTAAGATTTCGAAAAAGAATCAATATTTTAAATTCTGTTTTTTCAGAACTGTTCTAGAAGCTTCCACCCTAGCTGCTAACAGAGATGCTATCATTACAGGAATAGCTTGCTTTATCGGAGGTACACATTTACTTCTTTGAAAAAAAATTATATTTTTTGATAGTTAAGCTAGGCTAGACGTGTACATTTATACACTCGTTTCGTACAATTTGTGACAAGCTTATCAAATATACTCAAGTTATGATAATTTTGTTCTTGAGATCTCAACCATGATTTATCTTTTATATATATACCGAATAAAATAAATCTAGGAACAATTGAAGGCTTTTTTTCAGAAATGAAAAATTACTCAATACGCCTCTTCCCAACCCTCTCCTAACCTGTTAAATTGCTCAATACGCCTCTTCCCAACCCTCTCCTAACCTGTTAAATTGCTCAATACGCCTCTTCCCAACCCTCTCCTAACCTGTTAAATTACTCAATACGCCTCTTCCCAACCCTCTCATAACCTGTTAAATTGCTCAATTCGCCTCTTCCCAACCCTCTCATAACCTGTTAAATTGCTTTGACCATCATCTATTTATTTTATACATATTGTTAAAAACTAAAATAAAAAAATAAAAATGTTAAAAAAGATATACCGGATAGAACATCGAATTCGTCACTGAATTCCCATGTTTATTGGGACACCCTGTATCTATGTTTTAACTTTGCTTTTGTTTTATCAGAATATTAAATACTAATTCACCTTTGTGTACGAAATAAATCTATTGAACTTATTATGAAGGATAAGGTTTTTTTCATAAGAAACAATTCATTTAAAAAATGTAGACAAATATCATTCTTTTTGTTTTGAAAAAAAAACTTCAAATAAAAAAGTTATTTAATATATATAGTATTTTAATCAGAGAAACAATTCATTAAAAAAATAATGATATCTTTTGTAATTTGCTTTGGGAAGTTGCCAGTCTATAGAAAATCCGCATAAAAAGTGTACAGTACAATGTACATATATGTTCAGCTGTATCTGGAGGATTGAGTGTACTGTACAATGTACATATATTTTCAGCTGTATCTGGAGGATTGAGTGCACTGTACAATGTACATATATTTTCAGCTGTATCTGGAGGATTGAGTGTACTGTATAATGTACATATATTTTCAGCTGTATCTGGAGGATTGAGTATACAGGACAATGTACATATATTTTCAGCTGTATCTGGAGGATTGAGTATACAGTACAATGTACATATATTTTCAGCTGTATCTGGAGGATTGAGTATACTGTACAATGTACATATATTTTCAGCTGTATCTGGAGGATTGAGTGTANTTATACAAAAACCAGAGATTAGATCTTACACAACAGCTCATGTAGTTTATACATAAACCAGAGATTAGATCTTACACAACAGCTCATAATAACAGTATTCATACAGTATTAATAATAAAACTTTTTTTATATTTAGATATGGATACTATGGACCCTTCCTCCTGGAGCTGTCCGAGATAGATCCTGGTTGCGGAGTTGAAGATTTTAACAAGGTTGTTTACGAGTACAACTTTGTAACATCTCTACACCAGGTTTATGGGTACAATCCTGCAGCTTCAGGACTCACTTCAAACAATCCAGATGATCGGCCTGAGGTAATAATGCAATATTTCAGGACATTAGTTTCAGTAATGTTTTTTGGTTCGCCCTGTATTGTACAGATGCCTGCCTAGAGCTGATAATTGTTTTCTAGAAACAAAATAAACATTAGTTTTTTACATGTCACTGTCAATAAATCATAATTTTTGATGTTGTTTTTGTTTTGTAACAAAATGAAAGCTGTTTACCTTTTTTGGATACTTTTCTCCTTGCAACTCATTTATTTCACCCAACAAGTTGAGTTTCAGCAAAAAATCATCAAATGTTTTTTAATAGTTTGTATTATTATAGATCAGAAAATACTACATTGGAGAGTTCAGCAGAAAACTGAAACTAGCACTTCACTGTATTACATCCCAGGTACATACCCCCCCCTCCCTCTCCCCTCCCTCCCGCTTAAAAAATTTACAAAAATTGACATTACTAATTAGCAACCTCTAGTAGAAACCTTTGATATGTCAAGTTATTAAAACTGCTGGAACAAATTATTAAAGTTTTATAAAAGTTTTCATCAGATTGTAAATATAGGGATTAGTAAGCTAGTGTTTAATAAAAGTGTTCAGTTTCTTTATCAATTGAAATTCGAAATAATTACTTTTATAAAAAAAGATTCAATTACTAGAAATGTTTATAATTTACTATATTCGGTTTTTGCCACAAGCATATTTTCTAAATTTTATGTATTTGCAACCTGATCCGGTGTAATCCCTTCGATAACAAATGTCAACGACAACGGGTTGCAAAGATCAAAGGATTAGAAAATCATAGTTTGTGACAAAGACTCAATTTCTTTCTTATTTCTAGAGTGATAGTGTGGAGGAAGCTCGGCTAGTTTCTGGATTAATTGATAAATATGTAAACCTGGCAAACCAGAGATTAGATCTTACACAACAGCTCATGTAGTCTATCTAAACCAGAGATTAGATCTTACACAACAGCTCATGTAGTTTATACAAAAACCAGAGATTAGATCTTACACAACAGCTCATGTAGTTTATAAACAAACCAGAGATTAGATCTTACACAACAGCTCATGTAGTTTATACACAAACCAGAGATTAGATCTTACACAACAGCTCTTGTATGTAATTGTACAACATACATAGTTTACTCAAACAAAAAGTTTTACATTGCCACGCCAGACGGTCCCAAATCTGGCAATGGTGTATCATGCATTGCCACATAAAACACCAGCTATATGCACATCCAGACCACATGTGTATTGATTATAATGTACTATATACTGATTGTTCCATGTGGTATGTGACACTGGTCGTATCATGGGGACATTAGAAAGCTTATTTCAAATAACAAGTTATTTTTGTTATTTTTGTTATTTTTGTTATAATATGCTTCCCATTTTCCGAAATGTTTGATCAAATACACAATTTCAACTTTTTATACTTTAAGCCCTACAAGTCTTTTTTCTTGAGTAAAGGGGCCTAAGAAAGTCAAAATAAGTTATGGTTGGAACTATTCTGAGCTATATTTGATATTTTATATTTACTCCTGTATACGCAAGTGAACAATCGAACTGGTCATTCAAAGAACATATGTAAATATTCTCAATACACATTATAGGGTTTTTAAAGTGTTTCTTCATGCCCGCCCATTGTCTGTTTTGTTTAGGGATCATATCTAATAAATAGCGAGATATAGCTGAACTCTTGTGCGACGGTTTAAGCTACAAAAGTGGTTCGACTACATCTGCGCGGTTTAACCATGTCTCTATTTATTAAATCTGGTTCCAGATAATCTTATTTTTTAAATGTTAAATTCTGTAAAATAATCCGGTCTAAAATTTAGAATATAAATTCCTGCTCTACTCTACAACCCAGAATTGATTGAATTATCCACGCGCATGTTGTGTAATGTTAGTTGAAATTGTCCACGCATGTTGTGTAATATTAAACAAAATTAAAGTAAGGAATTGCAGCCAGGGGCGCACACAGGGGGCATAGGGGTCAGTCCCCCCTCGGAATGAAAATTGTTAGAGATATTCCCCTGGCAATGGCAGATTTGTAAATTTGTCCACAGTTGTCTGAAAAGTGAAAATTTTGAACCTTTAGTTTATATTTTTATTCTCGTATATTTTCCAGGGAGGAAACTGATTAAAATGTGTAATATATAAAAAAACGGGCTAAAAATAGCATTCCATTAAAATGATTTGGCCTCAGAATTAACAAAAAAATAATTAAAATCTTTAATACTGCGCGCCTCCGAATTCAAGAATTCTGGCTCAACGGGGTGAATGTCTAGGGGGTGAACAGGGGTTTCGCCCCCACCCACTACGCCAATGGCCTGTACGAACACGAATCAACTATTTTCATGCACTGCACTGTCCAGATGTGATGAAGATTTTTGTCCCTAAATCTAATAAAACCAATTAAATTTTCAAAACAATGATACGCCGTAAATCCTGGGGTTTGAATATGCATGGTTGGCATTTTTTTATTTATACAAATTTTTACTATCAAATGTGTTCAAACTTCATGCCATTTAACGGAAAATATTATGTTAACTTCCTTTTTACTTTGATTTTAATATGAATACAGTATATTTTTTTTTAAACGCTTTTAAGTACACTATTATAGATGGGACAGCAGATAAATCGTAAATCCAAGACTATATTATTATAGATGGGACAGCAGAAAAATGGNTAAAACGCTATTAAGTACACTATTATAGATGGGACAGCAGATAAATGGTAAATCCAAGATTAAATGAATAAACTAGATGGGACAGCAGATAAATGGTAAATCCAAGATTAAATGAATACACTAGATGGGACAGCAGATAAATGGTAAATCCAAGATTAATGAATACACTAGATGGGACAGCAGATAAATGGTAAATCTAAGATTAAATGAATACACTAGATGGGACAGCAGATAAATGGTAAATCCAAGATTAAATGAATACACTAGATGGGACAGCAGATAAATCCAAAATTATTTAAATATACTAGATGGCATAACAGCAGATAAATAGTAAAACACGACCAACTCCGTCATGGGAGATGGTTGTATTCTCATTTCTCATATGTTTGCAAGCCTGGCCATATACTGTAATTTAAATTTATTCGAACTATCTAACACAGTATTCACCAGAAACTGTAAAGTTATTGTCACCTTCGAAATATCGCTAAGGTTTTGTAATTTGTAATGTTGTAAAATGTTGTAATTTGTTTAAAAAAGCTTAGGGCACGTAATAGGAAATAAATCTGTAGTTACAAAATACAAAATCGTAGTTTGAAAATGAAAGAGAAATTAGGACAACCAATCCACTATTTTTTGGTTACTACCGTATTTTGTTTGTCTGATGTTTATTGACTAAACCTGGCCGGATAAAGAAGTCTAGCAGACGATAGTTGAAAAATCAGCTGATTTAATCAGAGGCCGGAAAAACAGTCACAACATAACGCATATAGGCAGCAGGCAGCTGGCAGTTACAGACTTACAAGTTACAGTGCACTGTGCAGTCATATAGGTTTTAATATTAACCTTCTCAGGGTTACACTGTACAATGTAGATTTAAATCAACGATATTTAAAAATACACGTTTTATACGCCGCAAAGAACTTGAAATTGGAATTTTTTAAAATACAATGATTTATTTGATTGAAACTGATTCAACTGAAGAGGAACCAGAGATGTAACACGGATACGGATGTACATCGTGCAGTCTATAGTTTACGGTTTTAAGGAAATAACTCCTGGAGTAATTTTTATCACTAACTTTCATGGTTGGAGAGATATTTTTGCAAGTATTAATTTTGATTTTATGCTTTGCTAGCCTTGTACCGTGAACATGAAGCGTACAGAACTATACTACAATATAGAATATATTAATATTTGATTAATTCATATTTTCTATTGTAAATTAGAAAATTGGGTTTCTGTAACCAGAGAAGTTCTTCTTCCATTCCTATCCGCAGGGCTTGGTATGGTTGGAGCAGGGTTGGTTCTAGAGAGGTAGGTATACCAATCAATGCAGTTGTTTGGTAGGAATGGAACAGGTTTAGTTCTAGAGAGGAAGGTTTAAACCCATCAGTAGTTGGGTAGGGTTGGAGCAGGATTAGTTCTGAGAGTTAGGTTTTAACCCACCAGTATTTGGGAAGGGTTAGAGCAGAATGGTTCTAGAGAGGTAGTTTTAACCCATAAGTAGTTGGATAGGGTTAGAGCAGCATTGGTTCTAGAGAGGTAGGTTTAAACCCGCCAGTGGTTGGATAGGGTTGGAGCAGGATTAATTTGAGAAAGGTAGGTTTAAACCCACCAGTGGTTGGATAGGGTTGGAGCAGGATTAGTTCTGAGAGTTAGGTTTTAACCCACCAGTATTTGGGTAGGGTTAGAGCAGAATGGTTCTAGAGAGGTAGGTTTAACCCATAAGTAGTTGGATAGGGTTAGAGCAGCATTGGTTCTAGAGAGGTAGGTATACCAATCAATGCAGTTGTTTGGTAGGAATGGAGCAGGTTTAGTTCTAGAGAGGAAGGTTTAAACCCATCAGTAGTTGGGTAGGGTTAGAGCAGAATGGTTCTAGAGAGGTAGGTTTAACCCATAAGTAGTTGGATAGGGTTAGAGCAGCATTGGTTCTAGAGAGGTAGGTTTAAACCCGCCAGTGGTTGGATAGGGTTGGAGCAGGATTAATTTGAGAAAGGTAGGTTTAAACCCACCAGTGGTTGGATAGGGTTGGAGCAGGATTAGTTCAGAGAGGTAGGTTCAAACCCACCAGTGGTTGGATAGGGTTGGAGCAGGATTAGTTTCAGAGAGGTAGGTTTAAACCAACCAGTGGTTGGATAGGGTTGGAGCAGGATTAGCTTCAGAGAGGTAGGTTTAAATTAAATTGACGACCTGGAACTCTTTGAATTAACCGATGTAAAGATTGAATCGGCCTTTCTTATTTGAGATGTAAGTTTGTAAAAGTAGATAAATATTCGAAAAAAATATAGAACCAGGAAGTCAAATTAAATATATTTTACCAAATTAACTATTTTAATATGTCTCTGAAATTTTACCCATCATTACACACTCCAACGTTATGAGATTAAAGTGAAAACAAACCTCCTTAATTTTAGACTTACAGGGAGTGTTAGTGTAATTTCAAGTGACCCTTCATTCAAAGATGGCATTTCCCGATTTATAACGGTTTCCTTAACGCTGTGTCTGATGAAGTATGAATAAGATATCCATGTTTTTGTTTGTTTAAACTGTTTTTTTTTTATTTGTGGTTTCTCTGCAAAAGTGACCGGCACATTTCTTGCTGATATAAGAATCAACATAGAAACTCACTTTTCGAGAAAAAAAAAACGAAGGTATCTGCCACATTTTTGGTTTCAAGGATACCGTTATATATCGGGCATTGCCATCTTTGTATTTGAAATTACGCTTACAGAGTCTTTAAACTATTAGATATTTCATGGTTGTATGCTTACAGAGTGCAGTTCTGGAGGGTTTTTGTAGATATACCTCAACTCTTTATCATGGTAGGTTTCATGCATGGGTATTTCTGTAGNTATCAGTTTGATGAACATTTATTTTTCAAAGACTTTTTTCTTCGAGTGTGAGAACTGCAATCGTTCATTCCAAGATATTCTATTTTTAATCAATATTCCTAATATCCGAACTCCAAAGTAGAAGTACACTGTAATGTGCAATAAATTCCTTCGTCTCCTTGATTAATTGTTTGTTAAATATTGTGCATAGATATATGTTAATCTATTAGGCCATCTGAGTAATCTATTTACACTTTACACTGAACAGGTCCCTGCTCTGATTGGTTTGAAGGGAAACCTGGAAATGACTTTAGCTTCCAGGTGAAAATCAAATTCAAATGAACTGTATGCGTATTGCGTAATTTTAAGTGACCCTACATGTAAAAATACAAATGCCAGATTTACAACGGTACCCTTGAAACTTAAAACTGATCAAAAAAGTGGAAGATTATGTCGTGTTTCTTACTTGAAAAGTGAAAATTTCTTTGAATTTCTCCATTGTTTCTTATAAGCAAGAAATGCGCGAGTAACTTTTGCAGAGAAACCACAAATGAAAATAAGAAAGTTTAAAGAAACAAAAAACATGGATATCTAAGTCATACTGGATTAGACCAAGCTTTAAAGAGTACCGCTGTAAATTGGACATTGCAATCTTTGCATTGAGGTTTACTGGAAATTGCTTTAACTAAATCTATATTTTTTCTGATATTTTGTCTTTAAACTATTCTATTTTAAGATTATCTACCCATGCTAACCTGGGACACCTGGATACAGTTTCTCAGACACTAGAGATGGGCGGAGCAAACCTTGCTCTTATCCAACTTCAGGTTATTCACAACTTAAAACAACTTATTTCAAGGTTCAGCTTTTCATTTTTCATAATTCAATGCCGGAACTAGGGTTGTTAATCGTTATTAAAAACGAACATCAAACTATTGTTTTTCGTTTCGTTTGGGATTTTTCAAACGACCTTCGTTTTTCGCTTTTTCCACGTCGTTAACGAAACGATCAGTTTGTTTTTCTGAAAAGTACAAACGATCCTTTTAGCCACAACATCATGTTTTAATAACTTTAAAAAAAAATCGTTCAAGACGACTTGACATTTTGAAATGTTCTTGTTCTGTGATGGGAAAAATCTTGATTCCATTAAAACAAAGAAACTGAAAACTCTTCCTGGTGTGTTAAACCTTTGATATTGAAAAACTTTAAATCTGCTGGATCAAATATCTGTCTTTTAACATATCAAAGGTTTACATCCTCTATTTGCATTGATATAGTGATTAGAAAATTAGAGTTTGAGTTGAGTGATCAGTCACTTTCTCCAAGTATAGATCTGTCTAGGGTGTTGTGGTTGGTGGCCTGGCTGCAGGTATTGCAGTGCTAATGTCTTATCTTACATCACACTCAATCATGGAGGTTAGAACATCTTTTTATAGCCTTTTAAACAAAATTTCATACCCAAGACCCCCCCCCCATCATTCCCCTCCAAAAGTCCTTTGGGACAATTAAGTAAAATATTATTCCGCTCATTTTCATCTCATAAGAATTGTGAAATCAAAATCTTTACTTAACCACGGGTTCCCTCGATCAATGTGTAACACCTTGGATGTTTTGTAGGCAAAATTGGTCTTGGAAACCCTTGGCAAAGTAAAATGTAAGAAATTGTAAATAATTATCATATTTTAAATCTTAAATTTTTAAATTTCTAGTTTAGTAGTTTACTGGTAATGCTCTGTAGTAGTGTGATAACAGCATCCTTGGCCAGCCTTAGTCTCGGGATAGTTATGATCATCGTTATAGCAGGTCAATATGTAGTTCAGAGCTGGGAACTGTATAGCAGGTCAATATGTAGTTCAGAGCTGACATCTCATCTCATTCTTTATTTAAACGTTCACGTCGTATGGTCTATCATTGTCATCCCACAATTTTTGTGAAACTTATTATGTTTATTTTTCACATGATGCCAAATGTTGACTCGGACATAATAATTTTTTTAAAGGAACCGAGTTTTTGCCTCAACCTTAAATTTTCTAATCCATACATCTTAGATATTTAAAGCTTAGACTTTTTGATCTATCAGATTTCATAGTTTGAAATTTCAAAGTTCTACGACATCGGGTTGCAAATATATATGGATTACAAATATATATCGGGTTGCAAATATATATCGGGTTGCAAATACATATGGCACGGCGCTGACCATGCAATTTTTCAAATTGAATTTAAAAAAATAGATTTTAAAAAATATTTTATTTTTTAACCTATGTTACTCAAGAGTTTCCTCAACAACTTTTAGCCCATTCGGTCCAGCTGTTTGACCAGCTGCAGCTAACATATATACAAAAGACCTTAATTATATAGATAGAAAAAATCTGGAATGTTTAAGAACGATCAAAAAGGATTATCTCGTCATCATACCCATCACTTACTTAATATTTAAACCCTAGCTTCTTGAGCGAGACTAACAGCTTACTTCTAGTTTCGAGAAGGTTCGGAGTAAATCCTGACAATGTAGCTACTCCAGTAGCTGCTGCTCTAGGAGATCTGGTTACACTTGCTCTTCTTTCCCTGGTTTCCTCCCTTCTCCGGTCTGCAGGATACACTCCACAGCTCATTATCCTCGTTCTTTATATTGTTATAGCTGTATACTGTTACAGGTCACTATTTGATTTTAAACTTTTCTTAATTTCAGCACTAAATCTTATAACCCCGTTCTGAGTTTAAAAAAGTTTGTTTGGTAAATCCGTTTGAGCCGCAGCTAGCTAATTGATAATAAAGTAATGACCGATAAAAGCGAAATTTGTTTCATCTTTACTCTTTTTTCATTAGAAATACCGCCATTAGAAATACCGCCATTAGAAATACCGCAAATGGTTTTATCTTGTCACTTATATACCATATTCTAGGAAAAATGTCCCAAGATATTCAAATCACAGATTACATAATCCTTAGTTCTGTGGCATCTCTTTTTAAAAAAAACCAAGGACGAAATAATTCTACGTTTTATTTGTTATAATTTCCTAACAAATTTAATTCTGCTAGGCTTTGCATTTTTTCAAAATGTTAACGATTTTTTATAACATTCTAAATTTAGAAAGGGAATTATGTTTTTGAAGGTGTGGGGGTCCAATTGTGGATTATAAATGGGTTTGCATTTAACTACATCGATGTTCATAATTTCAGTCATAATCGGTCAAAAATCGCATAAGAGACTTCATGTTCTTAAATATCTACAACACAGAGACGAACAAAAAAGTATGAAATAGCAAATACGAAAAATCTCCATTTAATGGGTTAAAATGGGCTCTAAAGTTAAGACTCACTGGATCTCTAGTTTTTTGGGATCGAAAGTCTTGATTTGTTTTCCTAAAAACATGCAAACTCTGTTTATAATCTTAAATACTACAGGATCGCAGATTTGAACAAGGATACCAGGAATATTCTCCGAGAGGGTTGGACTCCAGTTCTCTGCGCTATGCTCATCTCAAGTCTAGGTGGAACTATACTAAATCGTGTAATCTCCAGGTTCCCAAACATTGCTCTTTTCCAACCTGTCATTAATGGCGTTGCTGGAAACCTAGGAATCAAGTTTATGTTCGACATAAAATCTTAATCCAATTTACATATTTATTTTTGTATAAAATCAATCCATTATTTACATCTAATATTGTAAAATAAATAAGGATGAAAGAAAAATTTGCATAGCGGGATATTTTGTACTTAACAACCACAAGGAACAGTTCAGTAACATAAATATCCCGCAGTTTTAATATATTACGAGAATATAGAAAGGTAATTTTGATTTTATTTAAATGTTGATGCTGATCCGGATTCTGTACCCGCCCTGTACAAATGAAAGGATCCGGATCTGGATCCAGGTCATAAACATTTCCTTAAAATTTACTGATTTTTTAGCGGATGAAAAATTAAAAAAAAATTTTTAAAAATTTCTGAAACATTCAGAGATTATGAAGTTTGAATAATCGCTCATTAGTAAACACTAAACAGTTGAGATTTGCGTTTTGAGAACAAAAAGTATATTTTTTGCAGGTTTTAAATGGTATTTTTCCCCTTGTATCCGGATCCGTGGATTTACAAATTTTTGCGGATCCGGATCAAGAAAGCCAAAATGTTGCGAATCCAACAGATCCGGATCCTAAGCACTGCTAAGGTAGAAATAAAACCAAACCCACATTGTGCTACAATTAAATTTTGCACTCAGTCGTTAAATCAATCAATCTAGAAAATATAGCCCCAAAACATTCTCTTGGTTTTAACAGTTGGAATCCAAGCGTCCAGAATCTCTACCGAGCTCCATAAGCACAGCACACTTGGAACTTTACCAAACGAAGTTTCTTCGTGTAATCTGCTAAACCCTCTGTATACCTACCATGCAGGGACTTGTGATAAATCAAGAATATTGACCGCTAATTCAGTAGCTGCTCGGGTTCTGCTTTTCTTAGTTCTTCCAGGTCAGTTACAAATCATTATAGCAACTTTATTAAGAATATCCTAAAGATTTCTTAAAGCATTAAACATAATAATTAAAAATATTTTTTTTACTTTTAACTATTTATGTTATGTTGCTATTTATTAATAACGAAATATATATTTTAGGTCATTTAACGTTTAACCTGGCTATTGGATTGTCACAAGGTTTCCATATCTTCTCTGTATCCTTTCTTTTTCTGTACATGGTCGCAGTTTTATTTCAGGTAGAAAAAAATCACAATTAATTAAATTTAAAAACTAATCTATTAATTTTTTAAAGGTTTGTTTCCTGCTTTACATTGTTAATATTCTCGTGCACTTTCTTTGGCGAAGAGCTGTTGATCCGGACAATGCCGCAATTCCATATCTCACTGCACTCGGAGATTTACTTGGGGGGGCTCTTCTTGCAGTCGTCTTCATTACACTAGACTTAAATTAAATAAATAAAGCAAGATTTTATATTCTATTAAATAACCAAAGACGTCCTTCTCTTTTACTTAAACCAGTGTTATAGTTATAAATATTATTAATTACTGACATTGGATATGTAAATTGTAGGTACAGTTTGACACGATCCTTACACATACTTACCAATGTATAATTAATTAGAGTATCACAATGCAGTAGTGTCCATAAAACTGTGGAATAGAGAGACGACATTTCAGCAATATTATATGAAATTGAAGTTGTTATAATGAATTTTATAACTTGAAAATCATAACATATTTAGTGAAAGGGGACTGCGCACACTAGAAAACTGCTGTGTTTCATATTTATTGGACTATTTAAAATCATAACTTGATTCTAACAGTCGTCATCCCACAGTTCTATGGGCCTCACTGAAGAATGTCAGATTGTCTTCCTAAGATTAGATAATTTGTTTAAACTTTATAGCAACATATATCAAGTCATTTTTCCAATTTTTGGCATTTCCACTCAAATGTGAGAGTCGTTAAAAAGGATTACAATATGAATAATCAGGAAAGTATGAGTAAAGATCGCACTAAACATAAAACCTTTTATTATTTTTGTTGAATTCCATACAATCATAATTCAAGATTAACAAAAGCTATTCGCAAACCTTACTAACACACTTCCTTCTAGTAAAGGTTCTGAAATTTTACCCTCATTTAGTTCTGAAGCATTAGTAATGTCTACCATTTGATCAATTTTGAGAAAAAAACTAAAAAAAACTAACTATTCTCTCATGTACTTGAAGGCTGTGTGAAATCTTATCTTCAAACATAAAATAACCACAGTACAATTCGTAATATGTCTTGAAACTTGCTGAAACCTTTTCTTCCGAACTACAACCCATAGTGCCTTGTTGTAAACATTACAATTACGCTTATGTTAACCAATAATATTTGATGTTGTATCCTTTTTAGACCTTATGCTTTTGCTCAATGAAATAAACCCATGAAATATATATTAATTGTTCTAATAAGAGGAGCAAGTAGTTGTATTTTTGTGAAAACAACAAAATTCATATAATTTCTGTCATTAGTGTCATGTTAAAAAATTTTCCTTGAATTTATAACTGTTTTATTTTGTGAATATCCCAGAGGTAAACTTATTTAATAATTGTGAGTTGACCGTGTATAAAGCTATAAGCTAGGGTCTGAAGATAACCATGAAACAAATTGGCTTGCATAGCTTACAATTACTTTTACAATTACTATTCCCTGGAGTTGACCCTAAATAAAGCTATAACCTAGGGTCCCCGGGAAGGTAACCATGAAAAAAACCTCACGCTTGCATAGCTTGGAATTTTAGGAAAATCGATTCGTACTTTTAACTAAATAGATTTACAGACTTGTTAGAAAAGTATTGAAAAAAGAATAATATATTGACACCCTTTCAACATTGTTGATGACATAAATGACGGTCAGTTCAAATTAATTATCCTAATAATCTATACCTTCAAATAGCCAGTACAGTAAAGTACAGTAAAGTACAGTAAAAATTGAGCGAGTACATTTTAAATGTCAAAGATTTTGTAGTACCCAATGAGAGTATAACTAAGGAGAGGAGATAGGTTTGTTTACATTTTACTCGTAGCATATTAGAAAGTTTGAAATATTTTTTTTATTTTAACTAATTTGAAGTTATTATTGATAATTAAAATTCTTTTATTATTACCGTGAAATAAACATCTTTCCCAAGGAAAACTAATGTTGAACAGAAATAAATCGTAATTTTTTTCTCTAAAAAGTCTAGGAAACTAGGATGGCCAATCTAGGTATTAATAACAAAGTTAATGTTGAAATCAAAATATAGGATCCTGGAAACCTAGGTTAAAATGTCAAAATAAGAAAGTGAATTTTTTAGTTATAAACTGAAGGGTTTCGTTTTGAGATATGGGATGGATCAGTCTACTGAACAATTTAGAGACAAGGGCATATACAGGGGGGGGGGCAAGGGGGGCAGTGCCCCACCCTAGACCTGTAAAGGGGGGGTGGTATACGTGAAGAACCAGAGCCACCATGACAGAAGTCCAAATGAAAAATCTATTTAGAATGCACATTCATCATAATCGGATGGGTGCTATCAGAGATAGCGAAGTAAAACTACTATTTTTAAATGCCAA